AGAAGTATGATTGTTTCATCATCATTGCTTCAGGGCGTTTCACTGAGCATGAAACCAAGCTGGCCCAAGAAATTCAGAAAATGAACAAGAGGTTTTACTATGTGCGCACAAAAGTGGATGTTGACATGAATTCTGAAAGCAAGAAGCAAAACTTCAGTAAGGAACAAACCCTTGAGAAGTTACGGAAGAACTGCTGTGATAATCTGAAGAAGGCAGGAGAATCTTCTCCAAAGACTTTTCTAGTAACAAGGAAGGATTTGGGTAGGTATGATTTCCCTCTCCTGTATGACACCTTAGAGAAAGACCTGGATGAACACAAGAGACTTGCTTTACTAATGGCCATGCCGACTTTCTCAAATGAAATGTTGAAAAAGAAAAGGGCTGCAATGGAAGAACTGATATGGATGTTAGCATCTGCGTCTTGTGTTGGTGGGCTCATTCCTATCCCAGGTCTCTCTCTTGCATGTGATATTTCCATCCTGGTGGGAGCACTGATACGTTTCTGCAAAGCTTTCTGCTTAGATGATGAGTCCCTCCATCGGTTGTCTGAAAAGGTTGGCAAACCCATCAAAGAGCTGAAGTCTGCCATCAAAAACACCCCAATGATCAAGAACATCACACCAGACCTTGTAATGAATCTCTTGTTAAAGTCAACAGCTTGTGTAACACTATCACTAGTAGAACTGGGTTTAGATTTTGTACCTGTGGTGGGCTCTCTGTTTGGAGGAATTAGTTCTTTTGCTGTGACATATTTCATCTTGCACCGTTTTCTGCAAGATGTTGAGGTGGATGCTGCCAATGTTCGGGCAGTAGCTGCCCAGCCATAGGAATCCCAGCTACAGATCAAGGGTATACTAGCATGAGACTAAAACTCAAACCTGGGAAAAAAGAAAATGGGATGGGAATTTCCAAACAAAGTTTCATCCCTCTTTTATCCGGTGCTCGATCCCCAGTGCTCGATCCCCCAAAACTAAGCGCTGCTGTTGCAGATAAAGAATAGTGATATTGCAGATTTTAGCAGCCATGGCCATTTTGTGAAGGAAACCTCCATCTTGTCTGGCCCAGCTGCAAAAGCCTGGCTTGGCATAGAGGATGCTTCATAGCATGCTTCAAATATGCTTAATTTAATAAAACATTTTTGTCTCATCTTTCAGAATATGTTTCAAGATGGCTTACAGAGTATAAAATCAGCAATAATAAAAATACAATTCATAATACAGTAAGTAATAATAAATTGATTATAATAAATACAATCGATACTAACAGAATACCATCTAATTAATCCAATAATAAGCAAAAAAGAATAAATCAAATGTAGGAAAATAAATAAAAAGAATGAAAATAATTAAAATAAAATAGAATAAAATGTGACTGTTAACTTCAAGATCTAAAAGTCTAAAACTCTAATTCTTAAAACGAGGGTTAAATAAAAAGGTTTTCACCTGGCATCAAAAAGAATATAAGCTAAGGCGAACCTGGGTACCACAGCAGAAAAGGCCCTCCTCTGGGTAGATATCCTCTTTACCTCCTTCATGGGGGGGTTCCCAGAGCAGGGCCTCTCCCACCAATCTCAAGGGGCCTGAGGGCATATATGGAAGAAGCCGTTCCTTCAGGGATCCTGCTCCCAAGTCATTTAGGGCTTTATAGGTTAATACCAGCACCTTGAGTTGGGCCTGGACTTCAACTGGGAGCCAGTGCAGCTGGTAGAGGAGAATAACGACTGGTCCCCATCAGCAGCCTGGCAGCTCTACTTTGTACCAACTGAAGTATCTGGACCATTTTCAAGGGTGGCCCCACATAGAGCATGTTGCAATAATCCAATCAGGAAGTTACCAGGGCATGTGTCACCGTTGCTAGGCAGTGCTCGTCCAGGTAAGGTCACAGGTGATGGACCAGCTGGAGCTGGAGGAAAGCACTCCTCCCCATTGCCATCACCTGGGCCTCCAGGGACAGCTCTGGGTCAAGCAGCTCTCCTAAGCTGTGCACCCTGTCCTTTAGAGGGAGTGCAGCCCCATCTAGGACAGGATCAAAATCACTTACCTGAAAACCCGAACCACCCACCAAAAGGACCTCCGTCTTATCTGGACGGAGGCTCAGTTTATTGGCCCTCATCTAGCCCATTACCTCGGCCAGGCACTGCTTAAGGACAGCCACTGCCTCATCTGGAGTAGATATAAACAAGAGGTAGAACTGGGTGTCATCAGCATACTGATGGCTCCGCAACCCAAACCTCCTGATGACTTCTCCCAACAGTTTCAGGTAGATGTTAAAAAGCATGGGGGACAAAATAGAGCCCTGTGGTACCCCATGGCAAAGCTGCCGTGGCACAGAGCAATAGTCCCCCAGAAGCACTTTCTGGAATCGGCCAGCCAGGTAGGAGCAGAACCACTGCCATGCAGAGCCACCTACTCCCAACCCAGCCAGCCTATCCAGAAGGATGCCATGGTTGATGGCATCGAAAGCCACTAAGAGGTCCAAGAGAACCAACAGGGATACACTCCCCCTGTCCCTCTCCCTGCACAGGTCATCATACAGGGCAACCAAAGCAGATTCAGTACCATAACCGGGTCTGAAGCCAGACTGAAATGGGTCCAGAGAGTCAGTTTCATTCATAGCACTAGCACCAATTAATGAACAACTGTTTACTATCAGAGCGCATTCCAAGGCCAAACTAGCTTATGTGTTGTGAGAGTCTTCCAGCCCTGTTTATCAGTAAGTTGCTTAGTTACAGCTGGACTTGCTAGGATGGGACACTTGCAGGTTGTTTCATGTCATCAGCAAGAAACTATATAACACAGTTTGTAGCCCAACCCTTTTCCATTTTGGACTCTATTACCCTGCTGTGGCTTTGCTGATTGTCTGTTCCAGCTGACGGATGCCTACTTGACAGACTAGCCTACACTATGCGTTGTAAGGGACTTGCTGCTAAATGCTTTTGAAAGCTAGCCAACTTGTATGGTGTGCACAATAAAGAGCTTTCCTCCCTTTAAGCAAACTTGGAGCTGGCTTATCATTTCCTTGGAATCACAAGAACCACCAGTACACCACCAGGGCAACACACAGATGGAGTTCAGATTTCAGGTGTTATGATTCAATGCAATTGACACTCAGGAGTTATATACAAACAGAGAGAGTCAGAAGGGGACTCCTGGGTCATCTAGTCTGACCCCCGACTCCAGCCAGCTTGCCCACCCCACAAATGAATATTATTTAGGGCCTAGTAAGATCAGCAGAGGTGGTATGTTTCAGAATGGCAAGTGTGGTTCAAAAGATCCCAGCAAGTTGAGTGCATGCCATCATTCCTGTGGTAATTTTTGGCCATTGTTAGCACATCATGTTAAACTTGCAAGCTAAGCAGGCTCAGAGCATTTACATTCAGGGGAGACCGCAGAGATACTTTCAAGCTCTCCTTTGGGGCACCAGCCAGAAGAGGATACGGGATTTATCAGTGAGAGGATTAAGATTAGTGGGCTGAAGACCAATAGAATTTCTCTGTGGATCTTTCAGTGCAGAGCCCTGGTGAAGAATAGGTACAGGGAGCATTGTAGATAGAGCAAGCAAGCCAAGCTTGTGTAAATTGGGCATACAGTTCACCCCAGGCTGCACACATGTAAGTATAGAAATTGCTCCTCCCTACACTTACATGCGAGAAGGCCTTGTGCTTCACCTGCTTCCAGGGCCACAGAACTCAAGCATGCTGCTCCCAAAGGCAAACCGCCACTCCTTTTGTCTACAGTGTAAACACAATCAGATGCAAGTGAGCGGAGTCCAGACCCATTTTGGAGAAAGTTGGTGGCCCTTCACACGCACGTGTGTGGATCTGGAAAAGGAAAGAAAATCTTCTTGGGAAGGTAGCCCATCTACCATCTAACACCTGATGTGCGGGAGAAACTTAATCCACTCAATTTGGTTTCACTTTCTTGTCAATCGGCCATTTCACAGCCTGTCAAGTAAAGAAGGGGAATGGTTATGAAGGGGATGAAACTTCTACTGGCCGTGTTCAGTCAACAAGAAAGGACAACCTCCGTCAGAATCGGATGCCGTCGGAATCACTCACCAACTCTGCTTTTCCTCCCAAGGACACGTCCACCCCAGGGTGCCTCTCTGGGGAGTGGGGGCAATCACACCGGGCTCAGCACGTCTCCCGCTCCTTCGTCCATTCACCTTGTCTCCATGCAGGTCATTCCAGACTCTGACCCTCAGGTGTCACTTACCAATACAAACAGTTTCTCTGGCTTAGGATATGAAAATTACTGCCATTAGATCATGGGTCAGGATTCAAAGCATAGCTTAGCAAATCATGTTACATGAAACCGTTGGGTTTAGTCCAACAGTGGGCTAACTGGTGGGATGCGGGCTACATGTAGATCCCCCAGTCCCCCGTGTGATACTCACTGTCACACTGAATTTGATAGTGGCAAAAATAGTTTTTTTAAGTTAAAAGATGGCCAAGCTAGTATTGCCTTGGTGAAATTCCAGGCAACCTGGTTAGTCCCCTGCAGCACCGACATGGCCATTAAGAAATAGCTATTCAGTTGTTCCACTGCACCCCTCACAAAGGGGTCCATGGGATGGTTGTGCCAAAAGGGTCCCAGGACATGGGGTACGTGGGGAATCTGGCACTGGGGTGGGGATCCTCAGACTCCCCTGCACTCTGCCCCCTGCCCCATAGGTGCTCTGCCCTATGTCGGACTTCGCATGGAGAGTTCACATGGTGTCCTGTGGGAAGCACCTCCTGCTGCCGGCTATGGTGGGCTGGCTGGTGCACAAGCAGAGCCCTTCTGCTCCACACGTGGCTTGTGCGCTCTGCATACCTGCCGCACCTGAGAGCACTTCAGTGCAAAGAAGCGTTCCGGGAGCATTTGTGGACTTGATCTTGGCTCGGCTTGCTTCCTAGGCCACAGGGAGCCAGATTCTGGGAGGACTGTTGCAGCCCTACGGTTGCCCGCCCTGGAAGAGTCCCTTGCGTGAACAGCTCCGCAGTGCCGCTCGCTCGTGCCATAACGAATGCTTAGGTCTGGGCCACCGGGCTGCATCTGGGCAAGTGAAGGCAGTCTGTCCCTTTTCAACCCAAGGCAGGTGATTTTAGGAGGGAGCCACAATTGCATCCACTCTGCAGGAAAAGGGACCTTTCATGAACATGGAGGGCATTCCATGCCTCTCCCTGAGAAAAGCCCGGATGCACTCGGGTTTTCAGTGTGCAGCCGCCGCCTGGAAATCCTGTGCTGCTTCTGCAGTCAATGACCCACCCGCCTGGATGACTCGGTCGGCCCCTGTGGGTTACGTCAACCTCAAGGCCCCTGGGGCATGTTGGCCACGTATTAAGAGGCAACCCCCACCGGGGCTCTGTGTATGGGGGGGGGGGGGGCGGCAGCAATGTGGCCGTGCTTTTCCAATGCCGCTTTCCGTTTCTAAGCACTTGTGGCGTGATGCTGGGGGATGCAAAGCAAAGTGCTCGCAGGTCTCCCCCTTCCCATCTCCATTCCCGCAGAAGGCCTCTGGGCCAAGCAGCTTTCTTGGCAAACAGCTGGACCCCCTTGGGGCTTTGTTTTGGAGTGCGCCCGGCTGCAGCTGCCGAGTAAAGTGTTTTCAAAGGGAAAAGGGGGCTGTCCCTGCCCGGGAGTGGAAGGGGGTGAAATCAGCTGCAACGGCCAGGCGGGACTGGGGTGCCTGAGGGGAAGAACAGAACGAGTAGAAAGGTAGGAGAAAAGGGGTGACGGTGGCTGAGGGCAGCAAAGCAGTGAGATTGTGGGTGGCAGAGGGCTAAGCATACATGCTGCCACTATGCGGTAAGCACACGGGAGCGCTCTGTAAGCAGCTGAGCTCGAGTTAGTTCAGGATTATAGAAGGTAAGATGCAGAAGAGCCTCATGTGATTTCCTTCATGTGTCCTTCAGCTCTCTTTTGCTCTGTGTTGCTGTGTAACTAGCAAAATGATTGCCAATTTTGGTTCCCATGTTGTTCTCATTGCTCACTGTCTGTCTGTCTGTCTGTCTGATGCATGCACGTGCAAGCTTGCCCTTCACTACTGAGTCCCAGCCCACTGAAGCCACGGTCTTGCATCTGTGATCTCTGTTGCCAGCTGTATTCTCTTCCAGCTGAAGAGTATTTCTTCTTCACATGTAAACTGGCCCGGTCCTGCGTGGATTGCTACGGAGGTGCATCCAGTACTGCCAAACTGAACAACGGAGTCTCAGTTGTGAGAGATTCACCATTATGGGGCTTGACAGCCCTACCACATCCCACCAAGGTTTGCCAAGCGATGCCCAATCAGAAAAGGGCATGTGGGGGAATAATGATCTGGTTAAAAAAATAATGAAGGCAAGTGGTGGAGGGAGGAAGGAAGCCACGTATAAAACAAGAACCAATAGCTATTTAACAGGGAAGCGACTATTTGATTGTTTAAAGGCAATGTAGCACGGTGCTTATGGTGCTAGACTGGCAGCTGGGAGAGCTTGTTTCTAGTTCCCACTGGGTGACTTTGGACCATTCACGGACTATCAGCCTGTCAGGTCTGGGATGTGGCAGCAGATACCTGTGGCTGGAGTAGCAGGACCAGGGGTGATGGAGATCTTGGCACTGATGCAGGAACAAGCCAGGGCCACCTATGCAGCAAGGCACGGCAGGTCCAGAAGCAAAGGCAAAGCCACAAGCAGGGGCAGGCAAGGGCAGACACAAGAAGGCATGGCAGGCCCAGAAAGGGAGGCAGAGTCAGGAATGGGCAAAGGTCAAACACCTGGGAAGGCATGGCAGATGCACACGCAAAGTCAAGGTCTGATACCACCGAAGCGTGGCAGAAGCGGAGGTAAAGGCAACGCTGAGGCCAGATCCCAGAAAGGCAAGGGCAGGTCAGGGAGAAGAAGGGACAGGTACCTGGCCAGGTAGGGTCAGGCTGGAGGCAAGCCTGGAAGCAGGAACCAGAGCACAGTGCAACCACTCCTGTGGCCCATGTTGTGGTGGTCCAGGTGAGCAGCGCTGGGAACCCTTTTGTAAAGTCTCCCAGGGCTCCCAGCTACACTGCACGATTGCACAGGCACCGATCCTCCCAAGTGCCTGCAGGGGTGCTCTGAGTCCTGCAGGCACTTGCAGGGGGAAATGCTGTGCTGCAGCTCCTCAGGGCGAGCTGTGTCCAGCTTCTACCCTGTGAAGCTGAAATGGAGAGGAGGACCACCTTGTAAGCTACCCCACGTTCACTGAAAGAGGAAAAGGTGGGGATGAAGAAGACAATATAATAGATATTGAGTATAAATCCTTGGGTGCCAAGTCCTATAATTCTCAACCAAGATGCCCCATGGCTTAGATTTATGAAAGCAGCATCTTGAAGGCACCGTGTATCCATCTCTGACAGCCGCATGCTTTTGCTTCAAGGCTTAACTCCAACAAACAAAGGGTTCTCCTGTCCCGTGAGAAGTGGGATGCATTCACCAGCATGTTTCTATGCAAGGGAAATATTACACGCACTGCAAACGTCAGGAACTTTCTCTTGTCCAAGAGAAAGCGTCTTGACCCAGGTCAAGCTGTCCTCGGAACTGCTCTGCACATGGGCAAGTACGTAGCATGCAACTTAGTCCTTTTGCTGCACGGAGTAATCAAGAATTAGTGTGTTACGTGGCTTGGAGTTTTAATATCTGTAATGGCTGGCTTGCTTGTTAAAATCTTATTCAAAGGCCTGTTGTTTCATTGGGAAATTGATGTGCCATAACGATGCGGTGGCTTTTAATTCAGGAGTGAATATTCTTGGTGTCCCTACAAAGTAGGTGATGAGGCCTCCCAGAACCCACCTTTCCATGAAATAACAGGCATTCTGGAACACTGGGTTATATCACATCACTTTTGGTAGATGGCAGAAGGGTGTTGGCTATGTCATTTTGGCTGCAAAGCACGTGCTTCTGTGTAAGGTTTCAGTTCCCGTATCAGGAAAAATGCAAGTGAAAAGGAAGCCCTGTATGCATAGGAATTAAATACGGCTCTCCCAAAGATGCAAGGTGCCACATTCTCCCTTCTCTCCAGCTCCTCAAAGCAACCACCGGCCAAAAGCAGTAAGTAAATACACCTTTCTCCATCACTTTGGGAAACTGTTGGCATGCATTCACCACTAAAGTGATCATTAGAAAACATTATTGTCTAATGTTTCTGCAGAAACATTCTAGTAGAACTATTTCACCTCTCTTTCATTAGGAGAGGAGGCCCCCTATTATTATATTATTTTGATTATGAGCTTCAAAAGTGGGCTTTTAAAAGTAGGCTTGCATCTGGCTGCCCAAAGAGCATTATGCTAACAGGTGGCTTCAATATAAATTAAATACATCACTAAATAAAGAATGTGTGCAGATATGCTGTTCCACACTTCAGAGTTGGGTAGGATTAGGCTTAGTACTATTGATACCACACTCAAAGAAAGGGTTTTAGAAATATTTTTACATATCTTAAAATACTTTTAACATATCCAGTATGCTGAAATAGACAAATTTACATATTTGAACATAGTGGCAAAGCTACAGGAATGTGTAAAGCATTACGTAGACTAGACATGGATGACTGATGAGAAAAAAAGAGCTTTTCCCTTCATGGAGAGGGTGCAGAAGATTTGTATCTTTCTAGCACAGAGTTGGGCCATTGCTTTCTCTTGCAGACAAACTTTAGGCCATTTGCTGTGCCCAAAAAGTGAGAGGGCAGAAGAAAGTGTGGGAGAAGAAGATAAACACACAACTGTTTGTCAACATGAGTGAAAAAAACTGAGAAGGTAACAGTCTTTTCTGATTTCAGCCTACAGTTCTGAATAGACAACTTTGTTCTTTGAACATTACATTACAGTCCATTACTGTACATACCGGTTACACTAATTTATATATTTAAGTTAGTGTATGCTTCCAAGTAAATCATAATGACAGATTTGGTATGGTAAACATGGGGGTTTCAATGTTCTGGAAATAGAGGTAAACACCCAGTTTTCTAACCAGTATCATATTCTAAATATGGGAAGTTTTAACTGCAAGCCAGGGTTTTATTTTAATGCAAGCTGTCCTCCCTCAGCACCATGCTGGCCACAACCTTCAGAGTGGTCTAATGCAAGCCCTATGGGTTCACTCCTTTTCTTAGTGGTGCTGGCAAACATGGGGTGGGACCTGGTGTCCCACTAGCCAGCCCTGCCCCCACCGCAACCCCTTCTTTGGGGTTGGGATTGCTTCAGGAGCGGGGACCTCTGGGTAGCCCTCAGGAATGCTGCCAATATCAGCACCCCAAAAGTCCCCAGTAGAAGCTAGCCTAAGGAAGGCCACGTGGCTAAAGCACCGCAGCCATCGCCCAGTTTCTGTCCAGGAGGGAGAGCAAGAGTGATGAAGCCTCCTTGAACTCTGGTGACAGGTCAGCAGAATCCCAAAAGAGAGGCAAATGGAGAGAACCCATGGCACCTGAACCGGTGTGAATCTCAATAAAAGTAGAAAAATGCATTAGGAATTACAGTAGGTGTGGAAATACAAGGCTGGTGTGAATGGTTGGGAGATTATTAGTGGACATATGGCGAGGGAGTCCTTGGGAGAATTAAGGATTCCTTCAAAGAAATAACTAAAGGTGTCAGTTAACAATATGTGAATGTATCTACCATGTGTCCAGACATCATGCCTGTGATGTAGGGTATATAATGTATGTTTTCCGTACTTCTTTTGAGACTGATTTGGAAAGCCTATTCCCCTCTGTCTTCGTTTGCTGCTTTTGACTCTAAGTCTTGTCTCAGGCTGCATTTGACTCAGGGTCTGAAGCCCACCAGGGCTTGCTCATGCTGTTGTCTGGCTGAGTCCAATAACAGGAATTAAATGATGTCGTCCCAACAGAAGTCGGCTGCTTCATGAAATTGGAGTTCCTTGTTGATAATCCCTCCCCACTTCTTCCAGGATGGGTGGAGTGTAGCTAAGTTTTGGCTGCAGCTTTCCATACTATAAATTTGCAGTTGGTTTCATTTTCAAAGCATTTTTCTTGCATCGGTCATGCAGAGCAAGAGCAGAGAGATTCCCAGGGAAGGAAGAAAAGGCACCCTCTCAAAGGGCTGTCCAGCTCAATCATTAAACAGCTTCCACTGATTCTTTAGCACCTCAGATGCCGGAAAGGTAAGCCAGTTTCCTCTCATCTCATTTTTCCTTAACTTCTTTAATGTTGCAAGGGTTTTCGGAAGGAGCCATCTTCAAATATTAGCTGGTGGAGAAATGCTAGCTTTTTTGTGAATCATTTTTCTGACAATGGCATGCATCACAGATGTGACCATGGCAAGAACCCCTGAACACTGAAAACTACAGAGAGTTACATGCAGAAGAACCCAGATTCAGTTAGGCCATTTTCTGAATCTAACTGAATCAACAGTATTCAGTTCTTGAATGAAGATTTGGACAAATTTTAAGCGCTGCCCCACTTATTGTCCTGCTTTCCCTCTCATCTGTCCCAGGCTGCTAATATTTACTTCAAACAATCTAAAACAAGCATCTCTCTCTCTCTCTCTCTCTCTCTCTCTCTCTCTCTCTCTCTCTCTCTGTTAGCAACCATAGAGCTACTGGCCCCTCAAATTTCATTAACTTGTAGATGCATGTAGAGTTTGGGGGACTCAGTTTCCCAAATTTCTCCAGAGGGGAGAGAAATTCTCCAACCATTTCTGACACATTTCTCTTTTGTGCTCATGGCATAATGGGACAGTTTTGGACCCCCAAGTTATCAGCTTCCTCTTCCTTCTCTTCTAACACCTTTTCTCTTTTGTGTCACATCCTCCAGATCGAAAGTCCAAAGGTGGGGCCTGTGCCCTTTTTATGACTTTGCCTTCATACAGGAACCAGGAAATATTAGGAGTAATATGAAGGTAAGTATAGTGTTTAGCCAGCATTTCTTTGCAAGAAATGCTGCAGGTGTTGGAGCAGCTCCCCTTTAAGGACAGGTTNGCCCAGCGCGGAATTACTGCCGGGTGCGGGCGCGGCGCAGTGGCAGGGCGGTCCCTGCTGAGGCGGAGGCTGCGGCCCGGCCCGCCCCGCTCAGAGCAGCAGGTGTGTGGCGGCGGCTCCGCAATCCCCTCGCGCGCCATGGCCCAGGAAGCAGGCGCGCAGTGGCTCCCGGAGGAGGCCCGTGGCCCCGGAGCCGCGCTCTGCTCGGAGTACGCTCTGGCGCGGGACTGGTTCCACTGCGGCGGGAGGCGGCCGGCATGCGCTCGCTGCCTGACGTGCCCGGGCGGCTGCCGGGAGCACCGCCTGCGCCCGCTGGCCGAGGAGGCCGCCGACAGGAGGGTGAGCTCCCTCGGCCCGGCAGTGGCGCAGCGGGAGGAAAGCCCCTCGCCGCAGCTGCCCCCGGACCCGGACCTTCCTTTCTCGCGAGCGAGCGGGCCGGTCTGCCACCCAGGCAACTCAGCAGGGCCGTGCTCCGGCTCCCCGGGCGCTGCGCCGAACAAGGCTGCACGAAGGGCTCCTGGCGCGGAGAGGGCGGGCGCCTTTCCCTCCCGGGCGCGCCTGGGCTGAGCTGCCAGGTGTACGGAAATGGGAGGCTGGGAAGCGCGTTCTGCTTCCCAAATCCCAGCCGCGCGGGACGGAAGGTCGGCTTCCTGGCCGACCGTCCTGGGGTGAGCTACAGTGGGTCACCCTGACCCTGACCCTAACCCTAACCCTAACCCAGGAAAACCGGTGCGAAGGAAAAGAAATAGGGAAGGGACTTTTGTTAATGAAAGGCAGCATTGGCTGACACCCTGGAGTACCATCAGATTGATAAATTTGACTGTAATCCTGTCCCTGATCATTCAGAGGCAGGAGGAAATCAAGCTGCAATCGCCTTATAACTTGCAGAAGGCAATCAAGTTCGTCCTGGGCAGGATAAAGACTCTAAGTGAGGTGGAGAAAGGAAGGCTTCCGACAGCAAAGTGGAAGAAATTCTGGCCGTGGATGACTGATGGCACTCCAGCTATTACGTAATACTGTTTGAGGTAAAGAAAAATGCACCTAGATACAAATACAAGGACTGTTCAAGCTGTACATAAGGAAGGATATTGAACTGTAGTGATAGGTGTATATATGTATTAGAGTTAAGTTAGTTAGGAGACACATTGTATTAGTAAGATAAGAGATTGAAGTTGCCGTTTGTTACGGATTTTTGCGTTCGGTTGTAGTAATTTTGAAGTAGAAAGATTTTAATAAATGCATAAAACCTAAAAAAAAAAAAACCTAACCCTAATAGAGGGGGGAGGTACCACTGGAAGAGGCCATTTAGAAAAAGCCATCCTTGAGTAGCTTTTTCTGCACAACTCATCATTTCTGCCCTTTCTGAACTCATTCCAACCATCAGAATGCTGCCATCGTTTTCCTAACCCTAACCCTACCCTGGTTCACACCCTAACCCTAATATAGGGTTGAAATTCCATGGAAAATTTCATGGGTAATGAATAAGCTCTCCGTATTTTTTTCTGCGTGACTCATCATTTCTGCCCATGCTAAACACATTCCAAGCATCAGAATCATGCCAGGACCCCTAGTTTTCCTAACCGTAACCTGGTACACACCCCTAACCCTAATATGGGGTTAAAATTCCATGGAAAGGAGCACGATAATGAAGAAGCCCTCCTTGAGTATTTTTTTCTGTGCAGCTCATCATTTCTGCCCATTCAAAACACATTTAACAATCAGTATCGTGCCAGGACCCCTCGTTTTCCGAACCCTAACCCTACCCTGGTGCACAGCCCTAATCCTAATACAGGGTTAAGGTACTACTGAAAATGGGGCGATTTTGAAAAAGCGCTCCTTGAGTTGCTTTTTCTGTGCAGCTCAGAAAGAAGACGACACTGGCAGCCTCTGCCGGGCTCCCTCGGGCGCCTCCACTCGGGCAACGGGCGTGGGGGGGGGACCATGCTCTTTTATTGGGGAATTTGGCACCTACAACTTGGCCCGGGCGGGAGGGGCGGGAGCGCGCGAGGGCGGCGGCCGGGACACCTCCCCCGCGTCGTCCGACAGTGACGCACCTCCGGCCCTCCGCCGCCGGGACGTCACTTCCGGGCGGTGAGGCGCGGCGGCCGCCATCTTGGGTGGCTGTGGGAGGCGGCGACGGCTGCAGCAAGGAGGAGCCGGCGCGGCGGGCCTCGCAGCGGCGGCGGCGGCCTCCCGCCCGAGCCTCGCTTCGCGCCCGCCCTCCGCCGCCGCGCCGGGCCATGGCCGGCCAGTTCGACGCAGAGGACCAGGCGAGCTGGTACTGGGGGCGCCTGAGCCGGGCCGAGGCGGTGGCACTGCTGCAGGGGCAGCGCCACGGCACCTTCCTGGTGCGCGACTCCGGCACCATCCCGGGCGACTTCGTGCTCTCCGTCTCCGAGAGCTCCCGCGTCTCGCACTACATCGTCAACAGCCACGGCGGCGCGGCCGGAGCCGCCTCGCCCCCGCCCGCCGGTAAGCCAGCCCGGCCGGAGAGCGCGAGCGCCCGCGCCCCGGCGAGGCGGGCGCCCCCGACGCCTCTCCGCGGGCCGCTCCGGGGAGTCGGCGTCCGGGGCCCCTGCCCTTCTGCGGCCGCCCGGCCCGTTCGTGGGCAGCGGCCGCCGAGACTGCGCTCGGCGCCTCGGATGTCGCGGCAGAAGGGCGTGTGGCGGGAGGGGGCCGCCCGGAGAACAGGGCAGTCGCGGCGGGGGAGGGCCGAAGCTGCCCGTCCGGGCAGACCTGCGCTCGGCTGGAAGTTGCCCCGAGTCTCTCTCTCTCTCTCTCTCTCTCTCTCTCGAAGGGGCGCCCGGCGGCGGCTGCACCCACCTCTGGGTCTAATGCTAATGAAGAAGCTGGGGGTCTTTTGGACTCTCCCAAGCAGCGGAGGGTTGTGGAAAAGGCGCCGCTGCTGGGACGCCTTTTGTTGATTTGTAAATTCTTGCTTGTCTACCCAGCACGGTCATCTACTCCTGTAAGGCTTTGGCAGTCCTCGGCACTAACTCACTAGTGGGGTTTGCTTTTTGGCCCCAAACTGCAGAGACAGGATGGGAAGGTTTCTAAAGGGCAGCTTTTAACAACACTCCAAGCTTGCAGAGAGTGTTTGTTGATAGTATGAGGAAACCTTGCTGTTTTGCTCCCTTTGAGAGGAGGAATAAAGACAACACAGCAAAGATTGCCTTGATAGGTGCAGTGTTTGTTAGAAAAAAATACTGCTGTCCTAAACTTGTTTGGATGTCATGCATTATGGAAATGAATGATGTTTGTATGCTGCAGCCAGCCACACGTGACCAACTGCTTTTCTACAATGGTGACCAGACAGTGCCATTGAACTGATCTAGATGGAGGATTTGGTCTCACTCTTGGTAGGGCATAGTTGCCCAAATGCTTTAAAGCACAAAGTCCAGGCACACTTGGTGTTTGCTTCTCTGTGAAGGAGCCAGTGAAGATAAATAGGGTGTTTGCCAACCTGTCACAGTGACTGGTGATGAGTATCTGAAGAGGGCCTGATTGGTGGTCGCTTGGGAATGTGCTCACTGAAAACTTGGTCAAGGTGCAGCTTTCCATCCATCCTTTCAGACAGCAGGCGAAGGGATGCTGGGTGTCCAGGTTTTTATAGGACTGGAGCTGGTGGGTGTGACCTTTATTTAACTGGGTTGGTGAACTGCTCGAACTTTCACTTTACAGTATACATTTTCAAAGCAATCATGATTTTACCAAGAGGAAAGGGGTGTACATATTTGAAATAACTGCTTTATTGCAAAAGGTATTATTTTATGTATAGCGTCTTAACCAACTTTCCCTTCAGTGAATATTTTATCATGGGGGAATGCTGATGCTTCTCAGAGTTGCCTGTTCTGGTACATTCTTCATTTCCAAAGTAATCCTGTTTTCTTCTCCTGTCCTCCCTTTACAAACAGGATTGAATCCTCCTAGGTTTCGAATAGGTGATCAAGAGTTTGACTCCCTGCCAGCATTGTTGGAGTTCTACAAAATACACTACTTGGACACTACCACCTTGATAGAACCTGTTTCAAAATCCAAGCATAACAGTGATGTGCAATTGAGGCAGGAAGAAGCTGAGTATGTCCGAGCCCTTTTTGACTTTACTGGCAACGACGATGAAGATCTTCCATTTAAAAAAGGAGACATACTGAGAATTTTGGAAAAGCCTGAAGAGCAATGGTGGAATGCAGAACACAGCGAAGGCAAGAGAGGGATGATCCCTGTTCCCTATGTGGAGAAGTACAGACCTGCCTCTGCTTCTGTATCTGCTCCAATTGGAGGTAACCAGGATAGCCCACTCCCACCACCGCTTGGTGGACCAGAGCCAGGCCCCTACGCCCAGCCCAGCATCAACACTCCACTCCCCAACCTGCAGAACGGCCCAATTTTTGCTCGAGTTATCCAGAAGCGTGTACCTAATGCCTATGACAAGACAGCCTTGGCTTTGGAGGTACGTAACAGATACATTGTGACAGCAAGAAATAGGCTTAATCAAATTTCCCCTTCAAATTGCTTGTACCTGCAAAGGCTCAGGGACCCTTGTGTTGTTAATTTGAGAGTAATCATGTTTTTCACACAAAATGTATTTGAGAAAACAGCAGAGGAGCATGTATCCAAGCTTTTGGAGAGTGGGGAAGACAACAGTGACAGTGCTGAGCTAGCTGCGAGTTCAGTGCCATCATCCTTTTTAGATGGTTAGTTCATGATGTAGCTGGCCTAGACCCTTCTATGCAGGTGTGTGATCTCCCTCTCTAGTCCAAGACAGAGACCATCTGACCAGGGCAGAAATCATACAACACTGACCTTTTACATGACCTTTTTTAGGTTGAACCTAAAATTTACCCTAATAAGAATAGGTATATCAGTTTAAAATATTAGTTAAAATTATATATAAATATAAACAATAAAAATGCTTTATTTCAGCTAATACTGACAGGACGTTAGATCTGAAGAATTCCTATGGTGGCCATGGAACAGTATGATACTCATCTATCTCTATCTCAAAACCATAATTCAGTGTCAGTTAAAGTAATACTTTTAAAATCAGTCCTCTGTCATATTGAAGAGTAAAATATGCCACAATCTGATTCTTGACTTCTTTCATTTGTTATTCTATTGCTAAAAGAGACTAGCAGGGCCCTTATTTTTAGAGTAGCATTCTGCTTTCTAATTCTGGGATATCACTGTTCTTTGTGAAGTTCATCAAGCAGAATCCACTCTCAGGTGATGAGGGGGCATGATAACAGGCATTTCCCAGGCATTATTTCTCAGCAGCCTGTTGCGCTGAAGGCCTTCCTCTAGATGTGAACAGCTGCCTAGTGGAGATCTGTCCTTGTCCAAATATTCTGGTACTCCTTCACCTTCTAGTGCTTGATTTTTCTTTCTAGCATCCATTGCTTGTTGTGGCCTTACTAAGCTTTATGCTGCATGAACTGAGTGGCAATATCAAGTTCACACTACTGGTTAAGATATTGAGCTGTCTGCCAAGTGTGTTTCACATTTGCTGGCTCCACAGGGATTCCTGAGGAAATCACTGGCTTTGGAGCAGGACCTGGTCTTTGTCAAGCATTGTATTACCTCTTCCTAGTACTTGTTGAGGGAAAAAGGGCAACCAGCTGTACTTGCTGCCTCAGGAAAGCTACCTGATCTACCGAAGAAATCAGAATAAGAGGGCATACTGGCCTTGCGTGATTCCCTTGCCTGCTCCTGCTGCTTTCTGTTCTTTGCCTGCCTGCCTATTTGTATAAAGAACCAGAGCATTATTTGCAGGGTGTAACTAGGATGCATTTTTTCTTGGTCTGCAGGTTGGCGAGCTGGTAAAGGTCACCAAGATCAATATGAGTGGCCAGTGGGAAGGGGAGTGCAACAACAGGCGAGGGCATTTCCCATTCACACATGTCCGGCTACTCGATCAGCAGAACCCCGAGGAAGACTTCAGCTGAGTGTGGCTCAACTGTTCTGCTTACAGATGGGAACAAGAACAGGGTGTTTCACTGCAGCAGCAAGAGAGACTGTTCATAAATACGTCAAAGGCAGTGCTGTTTTTGCACGCATCCTGGTAGATAAACTAGCCCTGGGATCCAACATCTGACAGAGGCTTGTGTTTTCAGGGGACGCAATGCAATGGCTTTGGTGCCAAGTGCTCAAACTAGCACACAAGCATATAGGTATGTTCAAGATATTGCCTCTCTCCCTTCCCCGTAACCCTGCAGTAGGATAAGAATACTATGGAAGTTTTGTTTGTGGCCTTCATAGACAGAAAGCCTCAACAATTATGTAGGAGCCTCATAACGTGTTAACCAGAGTTCTTCCCCCCCTTTGGATTTGCTTGATGATGAAACTTCTGTGTCATAACTGCTTATTGCATAATGAGTAAACTGCAAGGAACAGATGGTTGTTTCTTTAACTGAATATAGCCATATCAGGATAGCTACAGCACAACAACTGGGATTTATAGTTGTTCAAGGCCCAACCCATACCTCCTCCTGAATACCCAAGAAGGAATTTCCTAGAAATTGTTCTCCATTATATTCATAGTAAGTAGCTGATTTAACCTTGGAACTAGATATTAATACATATAAATGTGGGTAGACCACTAAACCTTCCTTGCAGTTCAGCAAACCATGTTCATTGCCCAGTATTCATTACTGTAAGGGTCTGAGAGTTACTTAAACCAGTTGGAGAATGAGGAAAGAAAAAGGGAGAATCTGAAAGTTTGTTTAATTACTCTTTCAATGTAGCAAATGAGCATTGCCAACTTAAACTGAAATGCCAAATCCTTTTCCTCTAAAACTTGCTGTTTGGGATTGTTTTGTTTCCATCTGTCAAGCATTCAAATGGTAGATTCATGAAGATCTTATTTTTAATAAACTAATGGAAATACTTATCGTTCTGGACTGATTCTAAGAAATATATAGTTCACAAAAGTGAGCATTTTATAGCTTTCTCTATTCAATACTTGAACTTTCAACTTTTTTGTACTAATATTTCCAAGGCTGTTTATCGCCAAATCATTTTTTACCCAATTCCCCAAAAACTGGATGCTTAGCAAGAAGCAACACCTCCTCCTCTGCATCCCCCCCCCCACATCCTTTTGGGAGAAGAATGGATTGCAGCTGCAGGGGCAGGTTTGTACAGAAGGCCTTCTTGCTAAACAATACAGCCCATTAGATGCTTACATATGGAACAGTATCATTCCGCTATTTTAACCATACTGAACGACTCCCATTACTGAAAACCTTTCTGCCATGAAAGGCTTGCAGCAAAACAGGGCACAAGACAGTCTGCCTTTAGAAATGCAACACAGAAGTGGCTAAGATATTCTTTCACTGCTGACAGAGTGCAATCGCTTTACTTAGAAGGAGCTGGTCCAGAGGGCATTCTTAGGCTTTTGAGCACTGCCAAAAGCAGTCCCTCCCAACCTTGGATCCCTGAATAATGTTGGCCTAACTCCCACTACCTGAAGCCAGCATAAACCGTGATAGGGCATGGGAGCTGCAGGCCAACCAAGCCAGCATCTGCTGGCTTAAGGAGGCATATTTGTCTCTCCGTACCAAAACAACTGCTATTCGGCAATGCCGTAGAGATTTCGCAAAATGAAGGCTGGGAAGGGAAGGCTGGGAAGGTGGTGTATGCCCTGCCCAGTCTGGATATCCTGCTCAGACCCTTGAGCAAAGAGCGTGGCTTTGCTCCTTAACTGGAATGCAGTAGTAGATATTTGCTATAGTCTCTAAAGTACGTTTACTCATTTCCTGGTCACTGCTCCTTTAAGGCAGTCAAACTCTTCCTATGGAGCAGGCTGATAACTATATATACTTCCAGTCCACATGATCAGGCTTTGCTTTGGCTGGTTTAGTGGTTTCTCTTGCAAACTACCGCATATTTTGTCGTGAAAACTACGTTTCAAGTAGAAATGGAAGACTTTTAATTAAACACTATGACCTGCTTTGCATGATCAAAATAGCTCACTGTGGTCTGTTTATGTCATAGTGGGTTGCAGTGCCTGCCTGCCAGAATTTCTTTAATCCTTGTGCAGCTCTCAGTCCCCCGAGTGCATATGACACAAGTCATGGCTGGGCACTGAATATTCAAAATACTTTCTGGCACACACCACTGCCCCTCATGGTTTACACAGTACATGGTGACTGTTTGATCATGGGAGCCCCTCTGCTGAATTTTAAATATCAGCTTGGCAGGATGAAGAATTTTAGAGCAGGGTTTGTGAAGTGACAGTGATTCATTTGGAAGTGGAAACTGAATAAATCTATAATTTGATACATTGTTCATATTTGAAACAAATTCATATTTCAAACAAGCTTTAAAGTTTGTTGGCATTAATTAACTCAAAAAGTCCTGGACCAGGTCCCTGGTTGGTTCATTTGCTCTCTCAGCAGCAAAGCTCCTCTGCTTGCAATTATAAAGTTGTGAAGCCATCATGAGGCGGGTTCCTTGTCCTAGAACTAAAGTTACCTTAAAGGCTTCTAAGAGCATGCTTGGCTGCCCTGTTTTCGTTTTTTGCATAGGTAAACTAAATTCAGTTGAAATGCGTTTTCTCTCTAACGTTTCAGTCAAGCCCAGCCTTTCATACTAAAAGCTGATGTGGTTGAATCTTACTCTATCTGAATTCTTAATATTGCAAGTATTTTAATCATCTCGAATAGCATGCCATTTGGCTGAAAGATGCTAAGTAAACAAACCTGAAGCAGAATCATATGTAAAAATGTGCCACTGTATTATATAACACTACACACTTTTTTGACAGTAAATTTTTGTAGCATGTAATCAACATGTGCATAATACTAAATAAAGATGCAAAACAATTGTGACTCATTGCCTTAGCAATAAAGAAATGGGGGCTTGCCATATGTGAAAGGACTGTCACTACTGTAAAGGTGCCCATTCCATTCTGACAAAAACAGGATCCTTTGATTTACAGAGGTGGGGTGTACAGAGAATGAGGATGCATAAGTGCAGAGGCTTAACTTTCATGTTGCGGAAGAGTGTTAACACTTTTCTTGGCTTGAGGGTGGGCAATGATGAGGATTTCGGCATCCTCCTTCACCTTAGCATTCTCACACACACACACCCCACACTGCAACTGTAACTGGATGCACTTATACTGCTTGACATGGAAACTACCTTCAACAAGGCCATCACAGCAGCTTCCGTGAAATGTTTCTGCAGATGTTTCTGACTACAGCTCCAGTCCTTGACCATTGGCAATGATGGGAGTTGTGGTCTGAAGGATGCAGCAACATTTTAAACTGTTCAATAGCTGAAGCTGTCTGAGCAGTTCATGAAGCAAAACTTAAAATACGACATTGTGAAACAATGTAAAAATGCAAAAACAAGATAAAACCAACGGTACAATGCTCTAGATACACTACAGCAATTTTAAAAATGTTTTAAGAGCTTTTGTGTGGGGGAGCAGTCTATACTGAGCCAAAAAGACCACAGTGTAGATGCCAGGTGAACTACTGTGAAAGGGCACTGGAGATAAAGAGCAACACCTGCAGCTGGGTCTAGAAATTGACTGGCAGCCAGTGCAGATCATAAGCCGCTGATAAAATACTATCGGGATGAGCAATGTCTGCAATTGCACAAAGCGCCCACTGACACAATCCCAGTTTGAGCTGCCTTGAGTCTCCATTTACTGGGTTCACCTAGTCTATTGCCACAGACAGACACCAACTCAGGGAAGTCACTCTTTCGCCTGGAAGGAATACCAAAGGAGTGCTGGGTGCCATCTCCAGATGGGTGGCACCTTATGCTGCATCTCCCAATAAACTCCAGCAGCCTCGTGTAGATGCTGAACAGGATGAGGGATAAAATCAGAGCTCTTTGGAAACCCATGGCTGTTGTGGATAAAGGCAGTACCTCCATCACTGGACTCTGATGGACCATCTAGAAGGATACTGCGGATGACATCGAAAGCTGCTGAACAGGCCCAGGAAATCAATGCTGTCACATCTCGGGTCTCTCTCAGCCAAGAAGTGAAGTGGCTGGACCCCAGACCAGAGGCCATGGTGATGGCTGGAGCACAGTCCACAGTGGATCCAGGAATCCCAGGCCGAGGTCCATTTCGCCCTGTCTTGAGTTCCCACAGGACCCACCAGCCACCGTGATGTGGAGCAGAGGCAGCTGGGCCCCACTTCTGTGCCACAGAGCAGCCTCTTCCGGACAAGGGCCCTCTGAGACTGCTCTCGGGCGAGTGGAAGGGCGCTTGCTGCCGCAGTGGTCAGCCCCAGAAGGCCGGGGTCCCTGGCACCGCTCTCGCAACCTGCCTGAGCGCGAAGGCCAGGGAGCCACCTAAGATGGCCTCCTTCCCGCTTTGCCTGGAGATGCTCCCGAACATGTGCAGAGTACCTCTCGGCATTATCCGTCGAAGGGGCGGTCACCAGCGAGGCCATCCCATGCGGGCCCTGGTCGCCCCTAAGGCGGACAAGGAAAACGCCCTCTGTTTAAGCTCAGAGACACGCTTCTAGCTCGCTCGTTTTGGGGCGGCCCGGTCCCTAGCTCTGGCCTGCCATGCACTGCTCTTGAATCCAGCGACTGGGGCCGCGCGTGCCGCGTACTCGCTGCCGCCGCAGGAGCTGGAAGGAAGTCTGCCAAGCGGCTCTGCCAGCCGTGCGGCGGTTGCCACGGAGCCGCCGTTGCCATGGGGGGGGGGCCCGAGGTCGGTGCGCATGCGCACGCGCACTGCCAGTGCCCGGATGTAGCGGGAGGAGGAGGCGCCGCCGCCGCCATCTTTGCCCGGAGAGCAGCGAGCGCTGATCGTGGCTGAGCCCCCCCGCCGGACCATCGGTCTCCATCCGCCCCACGAAGCCCCCGCCGCCCTCGCCCCACGGACATGGACGATCGGGAGGATCTCGTCTACCAGGCCAAGTTGGCCGAACAGGCCGAGCGCTACGATGGTGCGGTGGGGGGCGGCCGCGGGCGGGCTGGAGGAGGCCGGCCGGGAGGCCGGCCGAGAGAGGCGGGTGGGGAGGGAGGGAGCCGGGAAGGTGTGGGGAGGAGGCTGCGGGCGGCGGCGGCGGCAGCGTGAGGGAACCCCGCACAAAATGGCCGCCGGAGCGGGGAGGGGGAGGCGGCGGCGGGAGCGCGAGTAGCCGGGCGGGGGGACGGGGGCGCACACAAAATGGCGGCCGCGCGCTCCCTCGGGAGGCCGGAGCGGCCGGGAAAGAGGGCGGGCGCGGGCAGGGAGCCCGGAGCAGCCGCAGCGGGGCGGGCTGGGCAGGGCAAGGCAAGGCAAGGCAAGGCAGGACAAAAGCTGCTTGGTTGCCGCCTCGGGCTCGGCCTGGGCGGCGCCCGGGCCCGGGGACGCGGAGGGGCGTGGCGCCGCGCGGCTGGGGGACCTCGCCCCGCAGCCTCCCTCCTGCTGCCCGGCCGTCCGGGGGGGGGGGGCGGTTTGCCGCCCTCCCCGCGTCGCGCTCTTCGGTCGCAGCCCGCCTGCGGAAATCCTCCGAGGATCGCGCCCGCAGTGGCCCAAGGCTCCCCCGGCCGGCTTCGGGGAGGGCCCGTTCGTTTGGGCGAGAGCACGCGTGCACTGGAGCCCTGCCTTGCAAGTTCGCCCTCCCACCTCCTTTTGTTCCTTTCTGGGGAGTTGTTAGTGAGTCCTCCCCGCCCCATACACACACTCCCACTAGATAGCAAGGCAGAGGGAGGTGGGAGGCCTGGCTTCCTCGGGTGAGAATGAACTGTCACGATGGTCCGTGGACAGGGATGCCTTTTCGCTCTCCTCTGCACTGCCACTTGCACACATACGCACAGTGTGAACTGTATGCCACTGGTGTGCCCTCAACGGAATATAACATGAGTGTTTCTAGTCTGTGCAGGAGTGTGATGCACAAGGGTGGATCTGCCTAGGACAGAAAGCACCCCCTTGTCTCCCAGAGAGGGAGAGGAGGCTGTTCCTAGTCCTGGCTGGATCTGTGAGGTGGACTCTTTGTCTTTCTCAGAATCACCATGTGTCAGAAGTGGACACTGTTTGGAACATGATGGAGGAGCCATGTGTGCTTGTGTAATAGCAAATACGTCTTACCTCCTGAGTTACTTTCACAGTCCAGAAAGACTGTGTCTCTGGGGTGGTGACAAGGTTTGGTTGGCCAAGCCCCTACGGTTGCAGCAGAAGGTGAATGCTTTTGAGTTTGGAGGTGTTCGTGAGCAAATTCCTGCTTTCTTTTGGAAGGGACAGCTTGCAGTTCAGTGGTACTGTTCATGACAGAATACAGTCTCTTGTTGCTCCAAGCAGCAGGGCAATGGCCTGATCACGTGTGAAGTGAGAAGAGAGGGCGTCTAGACAGACCTCTTAGACCTGGGAGAGGTTGATGGGCACCACAGATACCTTGCCTTCTCACTTCCTGTGGCTCCTCTTCCTTTTGGTGAGTGAGCCTGAGAAATCACAGCCTGCAAGCTGCTCAGAGGATCATTTTATAGTTCTGATGCTGGGTGGAGGTCTGTGGTTGCTTTGTATGCTGAGGCAAAAGCTGCATCTGCAAGGCATCTCTTCCCTTGCAGCTTCAGGACCGCGCACTGGGGTCAGGGACAATCCCTTCCTGGCTGACAGGTCCAGGCAATCAATTGCAATCACTAAGCTGCCCAAGAATGAAAGGGGAGATCTCCAAGGTACACAGAAGGCCTGTGTGGCATTAAAATGTGTTTTCTACTCTGAAAACATAGTGCAAGTCCCTTGCATCCTTTGGGTGGTGGGGGGGAGTGTTAGAAGACATATTGGCTCATGGTCTTCTGTGCACCTTGTGATTCCCTCCCTTTTCTGGCATTTATTCTCTTACCTTTTCTAAGATCAAGACCCCGTCCTCCTCCTATGCCTGTATTTTAAAACTTTACTTTTGGAAGCAGAAAGAATTCTGCCATGTATATTTTCAGCACTATTCTCAAACAAACATCTGACTTGGCATAGCCTGGAATGCCTTTTTATCTAGTAGATCAGATCGCAAGTGAAGACGCTGGGAGAGATGAGATAGCTGCCCAAGACAATTTTGCATGTCCTGGATAATGCTAGTGGCAAAAAGTGGGGGATGGGCTGTGAAAGAAAATGGTTAATTTACTGCATTTACATCTTTGCTTTCTATAAAGTATGCTCAGTGCAGCTAATAGTAGCATTGAACAGCTAAAGGTCTAGCAGCTTGTAACAATAGCGGTTAGTTATAATTAAAACATATAGAAGAGAGAAATCACTTGCGTGATCCAAATGTATATGCAGACCTTTTTTGGCATGCTGGCAGAAGGACATAAATCAAGAGGCCAGTCATACCTTCCTTGGTAGGGCATTCCTATTCTGGGCACAGCCACCAAGAAGGCCTTTTCCTAAGTTCCCACCAAATACACATCACATGGCAGGTGAGGGAAGAAGCTCTCTGGCACATCCCTTAGAAGGGCGAAGGCAGTGCTTCAGGCAACCTGCTCTAAGCTGTGTAGGACTTTATTGGCCATGGCCATCGCTCTGAATCATGCCTAGAAGCACATAGGTACTTGTAACCGGGCTCTCCCGTGATTGCTGCAACTGGCTATCGTCAGCAGCTTGGCTGCAGTATTCAGAACCACCTGATCTTTCCAAATAGTCTTCAAAGAGTGTATTGCAGTTATCCAGTGTGACCAGATCTGCATACTTCAAGGAACAGCCTCAGCTGAGCAGGAACACTTCTGAAACTTGAGCAGTCCAGGTCTGGGAGGGAATCCAGGAGTACCCCCAAATGGCAGGCCTGGTTTTCTGAGCATCCTATATCCTATTTGGGATGGGCCAGTTCCCTGGTGCCCCTGTGTTGTCCTCCTTGCTTCACTGCAGGGCCTTCTATTGTACAGTGAGGCAAGTCTCTGTTCCTGTTTTCGTTTCTCCTGGTTTGGAGGCGGGGCTGCAGGAATGGCTTGATGTGAGGCATTGCCGGCCCAGCGGTCTTTCCCTCAGCATGCCTGCTGTTCTTGCAGGCCTACACCGTCTGTGCACTCTCTCAGACACTTGAAAGTGTGGGCTGTGGCCTCATGCATGCAATATCAAAATGCATCCATTGGAGCTGATGATTCACAGATGTGTGTAGCCAGTATTGTGTTGTGTGAGGTCTGCCCGCTCTGTGCCTGCCCACTGTGTCCACGTTGGCCAGAGTGGCATTTAAAGAGACTCCCAGCTGAAGGTGAGGCCCTGGACTTGGGTTAGCGGTGCTGGTTTCACGTTGATGAACTTGAAAAGCAAAGGTGAGCAGCTGCATTCGGATAATGCAGACACATGTGTTCTCTCCTTAGAAATGGTTGAGTCAATGAAAAAAGTGGCTGGAATGGACGTGGAGCTGACAGTTGAAGAAAGGAACCTGCTGTCAGTTGCATACAAGAATGTGATTGGTGCCAGGAGAGCTTCCTGGAGAATAATCAGTAGCATTGAACAGAAGGAGGAAAATAAAGGTGGAGAAGACAAATTGAAGATGATCCGGGAGTATCGGCAAATGGTGAGTCCCACAGAAAGGAAGTCCCCCCCCCCCCCCCCCCCGGTGATCTGTTGAGCCCTCTATACCCCCCAATACAAACAGGTATTACTGGAAGGTTTTTTTATGGTGTTTGCCAGGCCAGAGGGCATTTCCTGGAGTTAATGTGTGAGTGTGAGTAGAACATACATACTTAGCTGCAGAGCTGTTGCGTGTTTTGGTGATCCAAAGGTTAAGTTTTGCTTTTGAGTGTTTGTGGAAGGAGAATATTCCCCAGATCAGGTTGGCTGTTGACTTTGGGGATCTTCCTTGCTTCTGCCATCCATCTGCATAGTCCCTTGCAGAAATACTCTGCCCATGCCCAAGTTTTCCTTGTTTAGTTGAAGGCCCTTAAGCTCTTCCTGGATATGGACAGTTGTCTTTGGGCAGACCTGGTTTATTTGTGCTTTCTGCCTGCAGCGAGTGTCAGTCTGCAGATGGGATGAACTCAGAGCACCAGAATTGTTCACACCTGTCTTTACTGCCAGTGGTTGAATCTCAAGTTTGTATTTCTTGCTCATCTCCCAAGAATTGGTGTAGTAAGAGAACACTGGACCAGAGCACAAGAGGTTCAGATCTTAATCATCATTTCGCCATGAAACCTACTGGGAGCTTCAGACTAGTTCCTAACTCTCAGCTTTAACTTACCTCCCAGCTGGTTGTGAGGGTAAAATGAAGAGGAGGAAAAAGGGTGGGGTTATAATCTCACTTGTTTATAGATCTGTACACTACCCTAACCCAAAAGGATTGTCTAGGCAGCTTGCAATAAAATACTAAAAACACAAGAAAGCCAGTTATGTATAAAATTACAATAAAATTAATAAAATGTAATAATTACACAGAGTATAAAGAAACAAACTTTGGGCCCCTGGAGGTCATGGGCAGTCCTGTTCTGCAGTTTAAAACAATCCATTCTCCAGGTGTGGATCCTTCTGTAGCCGAAGTGGCCACATCTACGCAGAGAGGGGAGTTAATCCGTAGGGTGGAGAGAAGCCCAAGGTTTGTAAAAGTTCCAAAATGTAGGGAAACCCCTTTTGAGGACTAAGCTGGGGAACTCTACAACAGTACAGTGAGGGCTGCGCCTGCTCATGGTGCATAGAATGGGCCACATCCTAGCCTCTGGAGCAAATATGCTTAACCCAGTTTCTGTTTGTGGCCCTGGAGGACATCTTGAAAGTGTTTGCCACAGAGGAATTTCTGAGGCCTGGCCAGAGTAGGTCCATCTGCTCTAGAGGTGCTCCCAAGAAACCCATTGGACAAGCAGGGTATGTCGGCAGTAGCTTTCACATTTATTTATTTGATCTATATTCCACCTTTTTTCTTTGAGAAAACTCAGAGCAAGTCACATAATTCTCCCCTCCTGCTCCCAGATTTTATCCCCACAACAGCAGCCTTTGCAGTAGGTTGGGCTGAGAGTCTGTGATATTTGGCTTTATGGCAGGTGGGGACTAGAACCCAGATCACCTGAGTCCATGTTGTTTCTCTTTGTGGTGAAGTGGCCTTTGTGAATATTCCTGTTCCAGGTAAATCTCCTGTCATGTGAGTCGTGGATTATTTTCTGACGCTTATTGCAGCTTACTTTGGTACTCTGTTTGTGCAAAGTTCAAATGGTCTAACCCAGTGATGGCAAACCTTTTAGTGACCGAGTGCCCAAACTGCAACCCAACACCCACTTATTTCTCGCAAAGTGTCAACGCTACAATTAAATCTGAAAAGTGAGGTTTTAGTTTAGAAAAAACAGATCACAGCCAGTTCAAGCAAAAAATATGCACCCATGGCAGCACACTGACCAGCCATGTGAAAGCTTGGACGAGTTGCAGGTCGTGACATCATCACCTGGTGCCGCTGCTCTTTTCTGAGCATGCTCATGGCTCTGTGTGCACTGTTACCGGATGCTCAGCTGCTGGGGCGATGCTGAGGCGACTTGGCTCGTGTGCCGTCAGAGGGGGCTCTGCGTGCCCGCTGTGGAACGCATGCCGTAGGTTCGCTGCCACTGCCCTAACCCTACCCGGTTGCACACCCCTAACCCCAACATAGGGGTAAAGTTCCACTGAAAACGGGGCGATTTTGAAAAAGCCCTTCCTTGAGTAGCTTTTTCTGCGCAGCTCACCATTTCTGCCCATTCTAAACACATTCCAACCATCAGAATCATGCCAGGACCCCTCGTTTTCCTAACCCTAACCCTACCCTGGTGCACACCCCTAACCCCAACATAGGGGTAAAGTTCCACTGAAAATGGGGCGATTTTGAAAAAGCCCTTCCTTGAGTAGCTTTTTCTTCGCAGCTCATCATTTCTGCCCATTCTAAACACATTCTAACCATCGGAATCATGCCAGGACCCCTCGTTTTCCTAACCCTAACCCTACCCTGGTGCACACCCCTAACCCTAACATAGGGTTGAAATTCCATGGAAAGGAGGAGGATAATGAAGAAGCCTTCCTTGAATAGCTTTTTCTGCGATGCTCATCATTTCTGCCCATTCTAAACACATTCCAACCATCAGAATCATGCCAGGACAGATGGTTTTTCTAATCCTAACATAGGGCTATAGTGCCACTGAAAATGGGGCGATTCTGAAAAAGCCTTCCTTGAGTAGCTTTTTCTGCACAGCTCACCATTCCTGCCCATTCTAAACACATTCCAACCATCAGAATTATGCCAGGACCCCTCATTTTTCTAACCTTAACCCAGTGATGGGGAACCTTTTAGTGACCAAGTGTCCAAACTGCAACCCAAAACCCACTTATTTATCGCAAAGTGCCAACACTGCAATAAAAGCTGAAAACAGGTTTTAGTTTAGAAAAAACAATTCCTGGCCAGACACCCAAGGTGATGTACCTCATCTGTGGCCAGTGTGGGAAAACTAGGGAGTAGATTCAATTGTTCCACAGTTTACAATGGACACGGAAAGTTGATCGATGGTCAGACTGTTTGCTTCCTGCCAAAGGGCTTGGGCTGCCCCTATTGGCTGGAGGAACTCACCACAGACTCACATGCTGAGCTCAGAAGGGCACCTGATGACCTTTATGCTCAGGAGTCGAATGGGTCCCAGCTACTCCCAGTTCTCCACTCTGGAGTTGTGAGAAGACGAGGTGGGTGTCTGCAGGCCAGTGGCATCCTTCTCTCTGGCATACCAGGCTGTTCTGGGTTGGGAGTTTAAAGACGCCTCAGTGTTAGACATACTCACTGACAGCAGCTGTCCTGAATCTGTTCGTCATGTTGTATTTTTTTCCTCCTAAGGTTGAGACTGAATTGAAGCTAATCTGTTGTGATATTCTGGATGTACTGGACAAGCACCTCATTCCGGCAGCCAACACTGGCGAATCCAAGGTTTTCTATTATAAAATGTAGGTGATGCACTGGGGATCCAGGGCGGGACCTTTGGTAGGATGCTTGTCTGTTGAATGGGTGTGCCCACAGGAAGTGAATTCTTTCCCGGAGATGTCAAATTTCCAAAAACAGAGACCATTCAAGGAACTAAAAGCATATTCTTTAAAGGTTTTAATTACTGTTATTTGAGATTCATAACAGTCTCTTTTCCAAATTCAGCTTTCTTCAGAAACAGAGAAAGAAGAAAATGCGAATTAACTGTGGGATTTAGTCTATGCACTGCAAGCAGCCACCCCCTTTTAAATGGTTTCTGCATCCTTTGGGCCGCAGTGCTTTAGCTGCTCAGTGGGAGTATGTCTACTGAATTCAATGGGCCTTTGTTCTAAGAAGTAATATTTCTGTAGCTTTGAACTGCACAGACATTGGGATTATCTTATTCAAGTCCTTGTGCAGGTCAGCCTTCCACAGGCTGGCATCCTGCAGATGTTTTGGACTTCGGCTCCCATGAGCCTACTGTTCAGACAGAGGTTATAGTCCAAAATAGTTCCAGGGCATCAGGATGGGGAAGGTGTAAATATTAGAAACCATTTTGAGGTAATAAAGAGCAGCTAAAAGGTTAAAGCTTTCTACAGAAGCATTTAGCTGATTTTTCTGACAAGAGTTCTGCTTCTTTCCGCCAGGAATATGGAAAAGGTGGTAGAATGTATTACTGCCTCTGCTTTCTGTCCAAAGCTGCAGAACCATTTTGGTTGGGGAGTATTGCCCCCTGCCCTGCATGCCTGCCATGGGCTGGATTATGTTTGCTTCCTGGCAGCACCCCTCCCCCATGCGCATGTCCACGTGCTTTCATATTTTTTCCCCATGCGTGAAGTGCTGTGCTCCCTCCTAGCATGACCGAGGAAATAACCTGAGGTGGGAAGTAGCAGAGGTGATGAGGGAAAAGAGGACTTGCCTGCATGGGCAAGAGGGGCCATCCTACCCAAGACAGGCAAATGAGATGAGATTGGGGATTCTTCCAGGGGCAGGTCTTGGACAGTGTGGACCACAGGATTGGCTCCCCGTTCTAGTCCTTCGCCTTGCCTGCTCCATCTGCCTCGCCCTGCTTGTGCTTGCTGCCAGGAGTGACTGGGGGCGGGGTTGGGGAGCATGAAAGAAGCCCCTCATGCCTGTTGCTTGACTATCCCAAATGCTTGTGCCAATTTTCACATGAAGAAATTTTGCCTGGCTTTTTTTGAAATTGCAGTGATGTGCTTAGTTCTGTTTTATATGTTTTGCATTAGATAACATAGCAAGGTCAGAGTAATAAGGTGAGTTGAATTAAATGAGTAAGAAAAACAGTCAGCTCGGAACTTCTTAAGAAAACAAATCTGACCGTGAAGCCATGTTAATATACAACTGAATAAGCATTATATCAGGCTTTGTATATGTTGCCTGGCATATATTGTTCTCGCCTTGCAGTTTTACCTAGGGAAGATCTTTACAACATTCCCAAGTAGTCTTCTGACCAGCTTGTAAGGTTGCCTGTGCAGGGAATACAGGAAGTGCATGCCGGATGGTTTGGTTTTGATATTTTCATGCTCTGCTTCCTGGCCCTTGGAAAAGCAGAAGTGGCAAACTAAAACAAAATGTCTGTGATGATAGGTTGAAACAAAGTCTGCAGCACTTCTGAGGTGGTCTAAGGTGCTTTTGTGGAACAGAGAAAAAAACTGACTTTCCGAAAGACTACGTTGGTCTTTCACTTACTTAGAAAAGCTTTAACTTAATTATCACAGTAGCATGGAATAACAAGCCACGACTTGCATGCTTCATGCCTGCTGCTGACACTAGGAAAGGCGGCTTACTTGTGTGTTGTCTGAATCCAAGATCCAGCTTTTTGCTGTTTTTGTAAGCCAGGATGTGTGCAAATCCTGGCTTATGAAGGGGGAAACAAGGTGGAATCTCAGGCATGGATGGCCTGTTAAACAGCAGGTTGGCTGCTTGCACTAGCAGTAGGAGCTGAGTGGGTGCCAAAGTACAGGCAACTTGTCTGCGGTAAGCCAGAATTCCTTAGAATTCAGACTTATTGTGAATGCAACTGCTCTATATGCTATAGATATATTCAATGTATTACAGTTATTGGATAGTAAAATACTTTTAAACAGAATGTGTTTACATTTCCAGCCAGGTTAGTTTCCGAAGAGCCAAAATACTTTTCTTATATTGACAACAAAATACCTTAAGTATTGAGAACTTTTCAAAGAAAAGTCAATCTACAGTAAAATCTGCCTTTTATTTTAAAAAACGTTTATCCACCAATATAAGTGGTGTTTTCTTTCTTTTTATTCTCCCCCCACAGGAAAGGGGACTACCACAGGTATCTTGCCGAGTTTGCCACGGGAAATGACAGAAAGGAAGCTGCTGAGAACAGCCTGGTGGCTTACAAAGCTGCTAGTGATATTGCAATGACAGAACTTCCACCAACACATCCTATCCGCCTAGGACTTGCCCTCAACTTCTCTGTTTTCTATTATGAAATTCTTAATTCTCCTGACCGTGCCTGCAGGTGAGCCCTATTGCTTGCTTGTAGTGTTTACTTGCTGGGTGATTCAGGCTTCCCACCTTCCCTGTTGTGTGTGTACAAGTTAGGCCTTGTAAATGGCCCGTCTGTTGTTCAGTTATACCTCACCCAGATAGTGAAGTTGCTGTGGTTCTTCCAGTGCTTTTGCAGTTGCACAAAAAGGAGGTGCTAGAGAGGAGGGGCGTGGGCATGGCAGCTGCCAGGAAGTTGCTGCCAGAGCAGCCCTGACCCCTGCCATCATCACTCACTGTTAAGTGTTGGAAAGTGGCCTCCGAAGTCACGATCATGTGTTAGCAACGTATTTCTGTCCATCCGAAACCGTTCTGCAGAGAAGCTTATGAAGCAGCAATCCGTAGCCTAAGCAGGCCTCGACTCAAGTGGGAATGATGGCAGATCCTGGCCTATATCAGAAGCGGGGAGCAGCGGTGTGGCCGGGTTCTCTGTTCGCCAGCCCTGGGGCCCTGATGTGCTGTGCACTTTGTTGCAGGTTGGCAAAAGCAGCTTTTGATGATGCTATTGCAGAACTGGACACACTGAGTGAAGAAAGCTATAAGGATTCTACACTTATCATGCAGTTGTTACGCGATAACCTGACACTATGGACTTCAGACATGCAGGGGGATGGTGAGTAGCCCGGTGGCGATGTGCTCTCCTTCCTCTCGACAGTTCAGTGAAGAAGGGGAAACGCGATGCCACGCGTTGCTTCCCAAGGGCACCCTTTTTTCTTGACTCCCCCCTAATGTGGTTCAAGACTGTCGGCCCCAAACCTGACCATAGCTGCACAGTGAGTGGGTGGAGGGGCGCTGGGGGGAGAGGAGGGGGCTATGCAAGTATTCTTCCAATGAGAACCTACCTCCATGCTGCCAGGTAAACTGCCTCTATGCTCCCATTCTGCATTTTCCTTTCTTTAAACAGATTGATGAACGTTCTGTGTCTTGATCTGCTCTCAGCTGTAGTTTTCCACAGTCTGACTCCCTGTTTGTGTAGATCTTTTTTTCCCTACCTCAAGCAGTTTTTGTCATTTTCCTTCTAATTCACACATGCATATAAAAATGGGTTAACTGCTGGGTTGTTTAGCCCCTAAACAACCAGCTGTTTGTGTTCCCAGTCAAAGCTCTTTACAAAAGGTTGAAGCAGGATGAACACATTTTGCATCGTCACAAATCGTAGGTTAAACGCCCCATGAATTGTTGCTTTGCTGTATGAACCAGGTCACTCCCTGCTTTGCTGTGAGGAGGAGGGCCAATTCTTGCAGAACGGGTCGCGTGGCTGTGTGGGGGGTGCGCTCGGGGGCTTCTTACGGGTCCGGTTCAGATGTCAAGGGGCCTCCCAGGAGTGGGAAGTGGAAGTCTTGGAAGCAGGTCTTCCTGCCCCTTGGCTGTCCTAACACTGAAGGACGTCTTCCTGCTGTTCGCAGATGTCCTGTGAAGAAGCCTTTGTTCAACAAAGCTGTAGGTTCCTTTGTTGATCGGCCAGCTCTGCTGTCCTGGCTTCTGCAGCCCCTGAAGGAGGGAGGCAAGGCACCGATCCACTTGGAAAGCCTGGCCGGTGAGGAAAGGGAACGGTCCCCACGATCCTGCGGAGCAGCAGGGAGGTGCGCAGTGCACAAACAGGCACTGTGGTGCTTGCAGGCCCCAGTTTGCGCCTGGGCATGCATCTTGCCCTTTTAAAAACAAGCAAACACCTCCCCCCCAGGACACCAGAGTGATGTGGCGGGGAGCGGATACCTTCTTGGGAAATCAGTTGAAAGGAAGAATGGGGAGGGGCATCCATGAGTGGCGATGCAGAGAACGGGCGAATGAGTTCGCTGGCAGAGGAACTGGGGACGAGCACAAGAGCATGCCTGCTGGGAAATGGGTTTAGTGTGGTGTCGTGCACAGCAGTGGGATCAGACTCCTCGGAGAGCCTCCTTCAGCTGCACTCGGCCTCGCTCCTGCTCTTTTTGGGGAGTCAGACGTGGCCTGGCTCCTGCTTGTCTCCTGGCACCGCCAGCTTGATTCAGGCACACAGAGTCTTGCAAGAGGAGGAGTCAGGTCTGAGCAGCAGAGCGGGTGAACTCTCAACTACTGTTTTAAGGCATACTTTAATCTCGAAGAGGAGATAGTGATTTTAAAGTAATGGGTAGCTTTGAAAGTCATGTTTTTCCTGAGCAAGCACTCTTACTACATTATGTGTTACCTTGTTTGGAAAGCCTTTCTGTAGTCATCACACCTTTTGCACTGCTGAATTGTCTGCTACAACTCTTCCACCCGGCTCTCTGCATGGTGGATGTGCACGATTACTGCTCTGAAGCAAAGCGTGCAAGCCTTGTACACACTTGACGGTGATCCCTAAGGGTCCAGAACTTTTCAAAAGCAAAGAAGAGTAGTTGGTAGCATAGTACTTTTCCGTTAGATGGTAATAAGTCATACACATTTATAATACATGAAGAACTCAGTCCAGGTAGCTGGAAGACATGAAATGCCACGAGCCCTGGGAAGCCGCCCTTCGGAGGCACACTTTGGCGTCCCCCAGGTCGTGGTGCCTGTGGAGCAAGTGCTTCTCCTGTGTGCTCGGCCTGACAGTGAGTCCAGGCTTAGCCGCCAGTCGTTATTTCTGTCGCCCAGATAGGCACAGCGAAGGTGTGCAGAGGTCAGGCAGAGGGCTTTTCCCTGGCCCTGTGCTTTCCGGAAGGCCCATGGAGCGGGGCCGGAGTCAGACCGCAGTGTTGCTCTGTTACAGTTCTGATGTGACCAGCACCTCTCCAGCCAGTGCTGCGAACACCAGGGGAAAACAGCCTCGCACAAACTGCAGCTCCAGTTTCGCCCGGCTGCTTCCTAAGGTGACACGGGTGGTGCTGCACAGAGCCGTTCTTCCCCTTCCTTGCATCCACCTGGCCACACGCGCCATGAGCAGGACAGCTGGCCAGCACGAAGCGGGTTAAAGGGGCCGGACTCACGTTCCTGGTCCTTTTGTCTGCCTCCGTTCCTTACGGCATCTCTGCTCAGGTCTTCTCTTAGAAGGAATAACTGGTGGATGAGCAAGTGCTGGGCAATTTGCTCACCCTGTTCCTTCTCTCTCCTCATTTCCTTTATTTCATTGTATGAGGATGGAGTGGAAAAATGCTTTTGTTTGTGACTTGTCACTGTAACACTTGTAAAACAACAACGAAGAAAAACAAGTTGCTTCTTCCATCTCCAGGTGGAGGTGGGATGTGCTTCACCTCATGTGTGGTCAGGCAGGGCCATAAAGGAGGTGTTTTCTCTGGCGGTGTGTCCGAAAGGATGCCCCTTGCACTCGCCTGGCCTTCTGTTTTCTCATCCTGAAACATACCGACCCTCATGCTTTCTGTAGCCCTGTTCAAGCTCATTTGTGACCTCTTTGTAACTCCTGTTTTTCCTTCCCTTTTCTGTTGTGTAGATTCTTAAAGGGAACTCCACCTGTTCATTTTCTAAAACTCTACTTTGTAAGTCTTCCTGATGACTTGGGGAATACCTGCTTCCTTCCCTGTCACTAATCACGCTTGCTTCCCGCTTGCATCTCTGACTCAGTTCCAGGACTGTGCAACAGCTTTCTTCTCCCCCTACTTCCTCTATGGCATAACGGGGATCCAGTCGGCCTAGGTGGGCACTCGGGGGCGCTTGCCCTTCAGCCAGCATTCTAGATCTCGCTGTGCATCTTGTCGTCAAAAACAGGATAGTCTGGTCTCCTAGTTGTCCCTGTGCTTATCCTCCCGTGGCCCCAATAAAGAGGTCTGGTCTGAGGGCACTTCCCTTGTAGTCAGTGCAAGGGCTGCCTCAACGTGCCAGAAGGGGCACTAGACATTGTGCCTGTCAGGCTCCTCAGCCAGACGATCCGACTGCCGCACCCCTTCAGCTGGAACCCAGCGAAGTGAGGCGTGTGTTCTTCGGGCTTAGGGAGCCTTGCCTGTCTGCGCACGGCCAGGCGCAATGTGTCAGCAACAGAGTGTGATACGGCAATTGCCAGGTGCTTGGTTGCATGCCTCAGTCTGAGCAGGTAGCTCCAAGTAAGGAGATGCATGGGACAAGAGTGTCCGAACGGCCCTTTTGTCCAAGGTTGTTTGTACTAGTTTTTAAAGTCACGGTTAAAATGGTCTTCGCGTTCTATGGAGCAGGTTTCTAGAATGCACTAACCGTGTGTTGCTGCTGCTGAGGTTCCCCTTAGAAAAGGCACTGCCTTTTTTCCCCTTTTTTTGCCATGCGGAAGTTGTGTGTTTTTGCTGTGCAGGTGAGGTTATTTGGGAACCATGTCTGTGGGCCTCTGTTGAAGCCTTGCCCAGGGCTGATGCCCCTTAGAAACAGCTTCCTTGTGAGCGGTCTTGACTTCGATAGCCACGTGCCACAGGCATCCCATGCTGTGGCGGGCCATGGCCCGTGGGAGATGCCTGGTGTTCACAGCGGCCTAACTTTGTTGGTTTTCCTTCCCAGGTGAAGAACAGAGTAAAGAAGCGCTGCAGGATGTGGAAGACGAGAACCAGTGAGACATCAAGGCCAAAAGAGACCCCATTTCCGCCCTTTCTGCCCCAGTCCCTCCCATAAGCTCCTCTGTGTCCCTGGGAGCCATCTTATCTGACGTTTGTGATGAGCCCCAGAATTTAGGTTCCTACCCTGTTGGGTTTTTTTTTTTTTTTTTGTTTTTGTTTTTGTTTTTTTTTACACAGTTGAAACGTTCTTTAAAAGGCAAGAGTGAATGTCGTGGATTTTACTGGTGCCAGCTTTCAGTTTCCTTAAGACACTAACCGGACTGGCTGCATAGAGGTTTTTCCTGCATTACCGTGTTGTCTTCTGTCAGTGTTGGAGGTGACACCTGGAAGCCATTAGAATTCTAGGGGAGGCTTTTTGCACTGTAGGGTGCATGTGGAGGCATTTTTCATTTTTTATAATTGTTTAACACTTTTATACCAGTGTTTAAAATTGGGCGTTCAGTTTGAAGTTACAGGTTTCATTGGAACAGTTTCTGTAATGGGTTTGCTGTAAAAGAAAAAGAAATCCAAAACTGCTGAGTGATCAGATGTTACTGCAACAGATGGTGCTGGTTAACGGTTCAACAATCCGTGGCTGCTCATTCTTGCCTTCTCTTTACTTTCCCTCCAAGCAGGTCAGCATTGAAGGTGGCGTTGAGAAGCCTGCATGTGTGTTCAATATTTTTCTCTCCCTTTCCCACCCCTCTTCGCTAGCTCAACCTCTTTTGTTCAGTATGTGTAACTTGAAGCTAATTTGTACTACTGGATATCTGACTGGAGCCACAGATACAGGATCTGTATTGTTCTTACTGAAACACAGCATGGAATTAACATTAAACTTAAATAAAACAACCCTAAATTAAAATGATGCCACATACTACTGCTACTTTACCCTGGTAACTTGAGTAAGAGGTGCTGGCAGAACAAGTAGCAGGAAAAAGTCTGATTTCACTGAGTGCTGTCAGCTGCCAATTAATTAGATGTCCCAAAGCCAAATCTGTGGATCCAAATTGATGGCTGTAGTCTGGGCACAGATGTGGGCACCAAGCCAAGCTGAGCGGTTCTGTTTGCTTAGTAATGGCAACGAGGAAATGCTTCCTGCCAGTTAAGCAGAGACACGAACACTCGCATTAGTGGGTCAGGTTGAGCTGGAGCGGCCCGTGCCCTTTATCGTTTTCAGAGTTCCTCTCTGCTCTTAAGTCATGTTTTGGTCCTTTTGTCCAGTTCCTGACAAAACACTGAAAGGTCTGTGGGATAATCTTACACCCCCCCTCCAGATTTCTTCTTCAACTTCCTTTCCTGCTAACACCTTACATCATACCTCTGGTCTGAACTGTCTCCCTGACTTTTGGCTTCTTCTGGGCTTTCCCTTTGGATTGAGCAGCAAGTCTCTTGGATAAATAAAATACTGTGTAAAGATTCTGCACTTCAGACTGCTCTCTGCTGAACTCGATGAAAAGTGGGAAATGCTGCAGTGGTAGCCCAGTGTTACTGGGCAGGCCTCCGCCCCGCCCCCGCCCGAGTCCAGCCTGGCGTCTGTGTGCTTTCCTTACAGGAGGAGAGGGCAGGGAGTGTGTTCTTCCTGAGCTGCTTGGGGTGAACTAGATGAAGGAATTGCTAGGACTTGTTTTTGCCGCTGTTCGTATCTGGAGCTACAAATAGGAGATTTGAGTGTGTGAATCGGACTGGCAGAGAAGGGGTGTGCTTAGCTTGAGCACCTGAATGTTTATGGCAAGCGTTGCAGGGCGACTGGGGCTGTAGCAGCGCTTCCTTCTGAGGCCGCCTGCTGCTCTCAAACTGGCCGTTTTCTAAGCTCTGTGTGTAGGTTGTTTACAGATAGGGTGGCATCTGTAACTCTGAGCATGTGCAGAGTGGAGATGGGGCCAAGGAGGGCAAGGGCATTTTTTTCCCCCAGCAGTGCTCGAGAGAGCTGCCCGCATGCCAGCACCGAAGTCTGCAGCTTTTCTCCAAGTGAGGGGCATCGCTCCAGCAGCGAGAGCATGAGCCCCCATCACTGCAGCACTCGACAGGTAGGAGCGGCGATGGCGGGTGAGCAGCAGTGCCTGCCCAGAACCCAGTGGCCCTTTGTTGGACAGGGACGGGGAGCACAGTCCTGTGATGGGGGGCAGGGAATTGGGCACACGCTTAGGCCAGAAGCAGAGCTGGCGGGTCTCGCCCAGAAGCTGCCTTCTGCTCCCGCTTGAATCTCACTGTACATTGCCACTGCCTAAGAGGGAGTCCAGATGGGGTGACTGCTACCACTAGCGCTTGCCCAGCTTGTACATAGAACCGAGCCCTCCAGAAAGTAGCATCCATGCCTTTTCCCTTTCTTGCGCGTTTTCTGCGTGTTGGAATTTTCCACGAGTCTTTAACAGAAGGAGCCCATTGTGAGAGTGTCCACTTGGGAAAGGAAATCCTTGGCCTTTTCCTCTTGCTCCCTTGTGCTAACGAATGTTGTCCCATAGTAGAACAGGTAATCTCATGCTTGTACAGATGTTTGTTGGGGGGATGCATTTTTAATAAACAGAAATTGAGCTGATGAATTACCCCTTTTTCCTACTTAAACTATCAGTTTCATGGGATGCTTCACCCAGATCGCTTAGAGATGTTGAGTTTTTCTCACTGCCCATCCCAAAATTGCTGTAATTCCCTCCCATTTCCCAAGCTCCTTTTGACCTGGCCCGACCATTCTTTTTACTGGCCGTCTCTTGGGCATCTTTCCTGCCACCTGATTCTGATGGAAATGGCTGGAGAGTTTTGGCACCCCCCTCCTGATGAAGTTTTTAAACTCCTAACAGAGTGTGCACTGGTTTGCAGTCCCAGCTGCCCAATCTTCTTCAGGACACTGTCACATACTTAAATTTTTACTATTACATTTGAAAGGTCATGATATCCTGGTATAGTGCCTTTTGAGTGAAGCCTTGCCTTGAAGGATGCTGTCCTTAAAAGTGAGTTGAACCACCTACAACGTATGACACCAAAAAAAAAAATTTAGTAAAAATTTATTTGGCTTGTATACCTTGATTTATATAGCATAGTGCACACAGCATTAAATCTTATATACACTATAGAATAGGCAGCATTCCAGGCCTGATGCAGCTGTGACCACTGGCAGGGGAACAGAATACGTTCTGCATCTGCAGGCCATGTGGGGGTGGGGAGGCTGTTGAACAGATCCGATCTGTACTGGTACTGAACATTACATACTTCCCTTGGGGGAACATCTTCGGCTGGGTAGATATGGCAGCAGAAGCAGCATTATTTCTAGCCTCTGCGCTTAAAAAAAATTTTTGGACCATCGATGCACACAGAGTAATTGAGAACTGGAAAAAAGCTTGTTTCAGTATGTGTTTCTCATATCTGAATAGTTGGGTTAACTATTTAGAAATAAAACCACTGGCAAAGAGAACCATAACTACCATGTTCACAAAAGTCCCAGCTCTTCGCTACTAGCTTTTAAGAGGGCCCAAAATACTTGCAACTCCCAAAAAACAGGGTGACTGAATTAAAAGTCTGTCTCTTCCTGAAACTACGCTTTGGGAAGGCGCTTTTTAGCTCCCAATTTCACTTCCATGCATTGTGAAAACCATTCCTACACCCCTCTGGAAACGGGAGAAGCAGCAGCTGTAGTAAGGCTTTAAGGCAAGGAAGACGGAGATACAAGACAGTTTGTGTAAGGAAGAAAGTTCGCACAGGTGGTTTCCCACTGAACTACACTGATCGCCCTCATGCAGACCCGAGGATCCAGGCTGGGAGCACAAGATGGGGGCAACAGTTGGATCATGATCACAGCTTTTCCACTCAGAAACCACTTCCATAGTGCAAGCATCCCATATGTGTTAGGATATATTTACAGAATTTCACTCATTTATACATTATGGCTTTTTAAGTCTTGATACAAAGCATCGAAATCTAAAAAATGTTTTCATAAAATATTTGTAGAAAATTTGGCAATCGGTTGAAAGTGTGGAGAATCCCCTCCCCCTCTTGCAGCTGCTGTTTTATGGCCAGACAAGTTTTGCACTGGAGCTGCAGAGTGTCCAGTGTTGGTCAGCAGCCACTTGTGCCAGGGAAAGATCTTTGGTCTGATGGAAACCAAAGGACACAATTAAAACAATTCTTTGGATGTGCAGGTCTTTGGTAGCTAGAAAGGATAGCTGCAAAGCAGTCCCCACCCACAAAAGGCTGGCAGGGAAAATGTCCGACCAAAGGCATAGAACGCAGTCAAACGGAGGAGGAAAAGTTCCCTTGCAAGGGGCAACTCTTGTCATCGGGAATTCAAACGGGGAGCCACCTGAGGAGAGAGACGACACGCTGTGTGTTCCCTTTCACCACTCCCAGCAGTGCACCTAAATCCACCCTTGGTGTGCGGCCCCGCTCGGAATCTCTCCAAAGGGAAAACGCCTTTGGCTAGGAGCTGCGGCAGCACGCCAAGCCCGGGAAGGAAGCGCAAACACTCGCGAAGCCGCAGTCGGGGGGGGGGGGGTGCAGGTGAGGGTTCGGTTATTCCTGTCCCCACCACAAACCCCACGAGAAGCAGGGCATAAGCTGCACGGAGCCGCACCGCTTGCACAGCAGCAGCACTTACTACCGCGAGATGGCCATTCTTGGCTTTGGCTATCAGCAGTTCGGATCCTGACGTGAAGTCGATGATGCCCTCTTTGCCTTGGCCGACGGTGAACTTGATGCTGCAGAAGCAAGGAAAGCGCCTTGGGAGCAGCTCGGGCGAGGGGTGTTACCTGTGTTGCTGGGCAGACTCCCCCAGGTGCAACAGCAGGGGCACTGTGCCAGTCTGCACAAAAGCAGGGCTAACTACCGGCCCGGCTGCGTCATGCAGCACCAAGGCCGTCACCATGGTCTGGACGGCTCGCTCGCTCGCTGCTGCACCAACATGCCAGCAAAATAATACGGAAGCCCATGCAAAGGGCAGCTTTTGAAGATGAAAGCATGATATAGATTTATAAAATAAAAGAGGGCTAGCTTCTGCAATCCAGTATCTGGAGCATCCCGACCAAGGGCTTCTCATCTGTTCTGCTCATAAACCCTACAACGACCATGTAAGCCACAGTCTCTGGGCTCTCCTATGCCGGGAGACTGGACCAGGAGACCTTCAGGTCACGGCACCAGCTCCGAACTGCCGTGGTCGGAGACCGGGTTGCTCTGCGAGTGCCACACAATACATGGGAAAGCAGGCTCCGCAGCATCGCACGCCCTCCTTTGCTGGGACGCGCCAGCTCGAGGCGGGTCCCGCAGGCTTTGACAATCTGTGCAGAGCCTGACAAGAGCAGGAAAGAGCACGGATCCTTTGCCTCGGTCCCTGTTGTAGGAAGAGGGGGAGCATCCCCCAGGGCTGTGCAGACCAATGCTCTGGAGCTTGTTTTCCAAGGAAAACCAGGATACTTGCATTTGAAAAAAGGAAGGAAACTCACCTGCCCTGGTTGATATTCACACTATTCACTTTGTTGGCACTGATGGCGATTTTGGTCAGGGTTTCAATGACAAAGTCACTCTGGAGTACAACATCCCCCTGCAAGCAAAGCCCGAAGTCCTTGGGAACGATTCTGGGGCTGCCTGGCAGCGCGGGAGGGACGCGCCTCCATGCCCCCCACCCACCCATCCGTGCGAGGCAGGAAGCCCCCGGCACCACACTCCACACTGCCGCCAGTGCTGGGCTGGAGCAGTACCTTCTGCTTGTTGTCCTGCCGGAGCACGTGAAGCACGAAGAGGCTGTCGCTCAGGCTGCTTGCCGACATACCTGCCGGACAAGAAAGGGGCGCTCAGGTCAGAAAGCGGGGAGGCGGCGCAGATGGAACAAGGGGCAGAAGAGAGCATGGGCTGCCCCCGCGGCCGGGGGGGGGGAGGGACGGCGGCTGGGACCCCGCCAGCTCCTCTGCCCCTTGTGCACTTCCAAGCCCTCAAGCCAAGCAGCGGCTCCAGACTGGGCCTCATGAGCAGCAAAACTCCCAGGTGGAAAAAGCAGAAGAAAAGCGGCTTCAGCAGGGGCTTCCTAGCCCTTCCCTCTCCGCACCTGTCAAGTTGGCGTAGTCGATGCGCTGCTTGAGCTTGGACTCCTCGACCAGCACGACGGCGTTCTGGGTGAGCAGCAGCTGCCGGGCTCGGGCCTTGTAGCCTTTCCGGTCGTACTTGGTCACGGGGACTGCATACTGAAACAGGCACCATTCGTTCCAGCAGCGTGTAGGGACACTGCCCGCCAGCGCCGCCACTCCCGCTGGCCGGGCTGGAGCTTGGGGCTGGGCAGAGACGGCCAAAGTTTCCTTGTGAAACCGTGAGGCCAGCCTGGCAAGACGGCGGCTCTCTGGAAGGGGCGGGGAGGCTGCCTTGGCAGGACCAGCAGCTTACCTTGAGCGCCTCATCTCCAAGCACCTGCAGGATTTTGGCACTGATCTCTTCATTACCTGCCGAGGGGTGGGGGCAATGGGTTAGAAGCAGCCTCTGCGCAGCCCAGAAGCCAGCCAGCCCGAGCGGCACTTACCAAGCCGGGTATTTAGGAAGAGCCGAGGGACACTCTGCGGGTAGTTGTCCTTCTTATCCTTAAAGATCTCACTGGCCACCACTTTCTGCTCCAGCTGCAAGGGAGGCAAAACAGCTGAAATCCAAGCTGCAGAGGCAGGAGCCAGCCAGGCGACTGACACAGCCAGTTTGGCAGCCACCAGCTCTGGCAGCCAACCTCCTTCTTCCCCCCTGGAAGGCTCAATGCAGTCGCCTTTTCCCTCACTGGCCACAGTGACAAGGGAGGAGCCCTGCTGGAATTGAACATTTGCAACAGTAACTGACCACAAGGCTGCAATGAGGCCATCAAGAGTAGCTGGCTGGCCCCGAGCCCGTGGCACTGCTACGATTACGCTACTGTCCCTCCTCCTCCCCTCGGAAAGGGCCCCTGGCGGCTTCCCTGGCCCTTCTCTGGCCCAGAGGCACCTGGTCAGCTTCAGGGCTGAGTGGGGACGAGCGCCTCGCCTCGCCTCGCCTCCCCGGCCACGGCCCAGCAGCCTGCGGCGACATCGCCAGCTGCTCTTCCCTCAAACGGGAGTCTTCGTGCCCCGTGCGGCTCCTCTGGGTACGCAAGCGGCCTCAGTTCCCCGGAGGCACTTGGAAGGAGGCTGCCCACCTGCTGCTTCCATTCCGGGCTGATTCTCTTGCAGTAGCTCCAGACCATGTTCTGCATGCAGAGCGTTCTCAGCAGCTGGGAAGCCTGGAGAAGAAGCGGACAGAGCTGCACGGGCCGCTGGTGGCAAGAAAAGGGCCGGCAGGGGGAGAGGCTGCAGGGCCGAGACAAGAAGGGCTCTAGGGGAAGGGAGGCCAAAGACGCTGCCGGAGCAACCCCCTCCCCGGTCAGCGAGTGGGGTCGGCACGGACTCGGCCTGCGGAGATCACGTCCCCTTTCTGCTTCAGGAGACGGGCTCCGCTGGCAGAGGACTTCGAGCCGTTTGCACGGGTCTCTGGGCCCAGTCACTGCACATAACGCTGCCCTCAAGTGACGTGACCGGGTCCGAGCAGAAGCACAATGCAACGTCCGAGGTTTGCCAGGGTCGGCAAGCAGCAAAGTTGCCTGGACCTCAGGCAAAAAAGCTCTCTGGAAGTATAAGCGTCTCCTCCTGCAGCACCAGCAGCCACGCTGGGTGGCGTGGGAGGCCCACAACGCTTCATGCCAGGGCCCCTCGTTTTTCTAACCCTGACCTTGCCCTGGGGCACACCCCTAACGCTAATATGGGGGTAAAGTTCCATTGGAAAGAGGGCGATTTTGAAAAAGCCTTCCTGAGTGGCTTTCCCTGCACGGCTCATCCTTGCCGCCCTTCGCTTGGTCTGCAGAAATTCGATTCATTTTCCATCAGGTTGGCCCAACTTGACACTGAAAGGAGGCAGCCTTCCAGCCCCTCTGGCCCAGCGGGACGGATGCTGCCAGGGACCCCCAGGGCCCTCGCCAGAGGGGAAGGGAGACAGAGGGCGCTGCCAGGCCAAAGGGTGCCGTGGGCCCTCCCACCAGGCCTACCTCTCTGAGGGAGGGGGGCGCCACCGGCCAGGACTTGTCCAGCACATTTTTGGGCAGGTTGCGCTTCAGGTTCATCAGGAAGGCATAGCGGATGTAGTCGAGGAAATACTCGTTCTCGGGACAGCGGGAGTAATTCCGGTAAATGAAGCCCTTGATGAACCTTGGGGGGGGACACAAGGAGGGAGAGGCGGCTGCCGCAGGCCATCGACGGGTGGGGGCCTCTCTTGCAGCACCAAACTGGGGAGGGACCGCGGGGAAGAGGCAGGGAATCGGGGACCCGCAGGAGCTCCTGCTCTCTGCCGGGGGGGGGGGGGGTCTGGGTAAGGGACCACATACCGTCGGATGGTCTGCGCGGCCCACTTCCTCTTGGCGGCCCTGCGGCGGCCCAGCGTTCCCCGCCACCACGCCTGGATGGTGATGGCTAGAGAGAGTTGAGAGAGAGGGATGCCACTGCTCTCCCAGGCACTGAGACTGGGGGGGCTGCAGCTCTGCCCTGGCCCTCGCCTCCGATGCCCCTCGGCGGCTCGAGCACTTCCTTTCCTGGCCCAGTGCTCCAGAGCGCCCCCTTAGAGGGGCACCTCGGCCGGCCTTCAGAGGTGTGGGCATCCTCCCACGGCTGGGCATTTGCGGGCCTCTTGGGAAACAGTTTGCTACCTGAGCGCTTCATCTGCTGGAACTTCTTCCTCCGATAGAACCCTCTCCAGGCTGCCTGGATCTTGGTGGCTGAAGTTGAGGGGAGAAGAGGCGGGCTGAGCAAGGCGAGCAGCTGGGAGGTGGTCCCCAGAGCCCGCGGTTTAGACTGGCCCGGCAGACTCACCCAGGCTCTGCTTGCGGACTTCCAAGGCATCTTCCGTCGCAAACAGAGTCTTGGGGAAGCGAATGAATATTTTCGTCCTGGAAAGAGACGTGTGCGTGAGGCCTGCTCCGCCCCGGCGGGATCACAGGGCCTCGCGAGCCCAACCTCCGGCACGCACCTGCCCATCTTGTACTCCTCCGGCTTGTAGCTCAGGTGCTTCAGGAGCACCGCCACGCCGTCCTGGGGCCTCCCATCCCAGGTGGGCCACGTTCCGGGGCACAGCGACTTGTACCTGGGCGGAGAAGGGAAGGCCGGTGCACTGGGGTGCGGAGGAACAAGCCAGCGCCCGGGAGTTTTGGGAGAGGCATCCTGCTCACGGGGGTGCCTTGGGCCTGGCTGGCCCGTGCAGCAGCATTGCCGGGCACGCAGGGGGCTCCGGCTGCCAAGCACACCCCACCCACACGTCCGTCTACCACCAGGAGCCACCCCCCTTCCGAGGGGCCCACACTGCACCTGCGCAGGGCAGGTACCTCCTACCTCTGCAGGAAGACTTCGTATTTCCGCCGGTAGGCAAAACCTGCCCTCCGCACTCGCAGGTTCTCCATCAAGCCCAAGTACTTAACTTGATGCCGGATCAAAACTTCTTCAAACCGGCCTAGAGAAAGAGCGGAATGGAGAGCTAACCCACCAAGGGAAGTACGAGAAGGGGCACACGGCTCTCCAGTTTGGATTCGTGCTCAGGGACGGGCCCACCGGAAGCCCCAGCCCTCATCACAGGCCGAGCCGCTTCCGCAGAACCGAATTGGTGGAGACAAACGGAAGGGGAGGCTCCCAGCTCAGTGCCCGTCCGGGTCACTCTGGGGCTTCCTGGGCGCTTGGAGCAATCGGCCTGCGGGCCTTCCTGGGCACACGCTTTGGGCGCAGCCGTACCGGCCTGCTTGGCGTCGTTGGGCTTGATGCAGCGGATGTAGGAGGGCTCCTTGGACATCAGGATCTCCATCAGCTTGGAGAGGCTGTTCTTGAACTGTGTCACTGCCTGCACGGGGGAAGGGGAGGAGTCAGGAAGGCCCCACTGCCAGGAGGGAGGAGGAGAGCGGTGTGGGGCTGGGGCGGACTGGGCCCCTTACCGTCTCTGGCCTCTTCTTGTCGGTCAGCTCCGCCCGCTCAAAGCACTGGCTGATGATGGGGTTCTCCGAGTCACACATGGCCTGCCGGAGCAAACACAGAGCATCACTCTTGGGCCGCGCAATCAGGGTGTGCTGAGGGGCTCTCTGGAGAGCACTGAAGGGCCGTTCCCTCCCACCGAGGAGCCACGAGAGGGATGGGGTGCCTGCCGGGAGGCGCAGGCCAGCCTGGCGCTCACCTCTTTGAGATTCCGAAACAGAAGGTCGTTGTTCTTGTCCAGGAAGCCTAGGGAGGAAAGCCGAGTCAGCTGGCTGGGGCCAGGCAGGGAAGGCAATGGCGCGGCCTGGAAAGGGGGCACCACACACAGGAGGGCAGGTGCGCCTACCTGTCACACTGTAGGTGACGTCCCCGGCGTAGTGCAAGAGGCGGAATTCTTCCCGGCCCAAGGATTTGCGGGTCTTGGCATCGGCCAGTTTGTGCCTGTGGAAAGACCGGAGGCTGCTGAGCCAGGCCTGCGGGTGACGAGCTGGACGAGGAGCAGGCACGAAGCAGGCGCAGCCGCAGAAGGGCTGGTGGGACGTGGCCCACGTGCAGAGGCCGGGCTGGGCCAGGAGGCGGCCCACGTGCCAGGCCGCCTGGCTGCAACCAGCCTGGGGCGACCAGTAACATCTTTAGCATTTAACTATGATTCTTAACAAGCTTTAGGCCAGTGGGGTGCTAAACCTTAACCAACCAAGACGCTGACTGGCGTCTTAGCCCCCCGCCCTCCCTCCCTCCTTCCGAGGGACACAGACGCAGCTCCTGGCCAACACACGTGAGGAAGTGGGGGTGCTTCCTGACGGTCTCCTCCAGCTTCTCCAGGAACGTCATGTCCGTGGCATCTCCGGGTCGCAAGCACTCCTCATCCTGCGGGGAAGCCAGGCGATCAGGGGGCAGAGCCCAGCAGCCGGGGGGAGCACGCATGGCCTCCCCCTCCCCAGCGCGGCAGAGCGGGGCTTCGCCGGGAGCACGGCAGTCCCCCCACCACGCTCTGCGTGGGGCCAGCCGGACTTGGCCTGCTGGACAGGCAGACAGCAAAGCCGGGAGGAGGGACGGCACATGGCAGGACCCCGATCAAGACCCACAGAGGGACGGCAAGGGGGGCTGTGGCGCCGCGGCAGCTGGTGTGGGCCGGCTCTGGCGTGGCACCTGGTCAGCCCCGGCCTCAGCAGCCTCCCCCGGAAGAACGATGTGGGCACAGCAGGGGCCTGCGCAGCCCGTCCAAGGAGGCCCGGCTGGCCCGACAGACCCTCGGCCACCGCAGCCTCGCCCTGCGGAGCCCCCTCCCTGCACTCCCTCCTCAAAGCATTCCTGAGGACTTACCAAAATTGAAATGATGCCTTTGAATTTCTCTTCCACCAAGTCACAGATGATTTTGTTATTAAAATACTGGACCGGCTCCCACTGGCGTTTCAGGTAGCGGGGAGAAAAGACAGGACACGGCCGGCATGAGGCGAGGGATGGGGCTGCGGCACTCCGAGGGGGGCGGGGGTGGGCAGGCCAAGCGGTGCATCTCTGGCCCTGCAGCCTGGCCCCCACCTGAGCAGAGCGCAGTCGGCCTGCCCGGCTGCACACGCCTGCCTTGCTTGGACGGAGCTGCAGGGATGGCTTTCAGAGCTTCGTTCCCACTTGGAGATGCTCTCGGGGGGGGGGGGGGCACAGGCAGGAGAACGAGACCTGCTCCCCTTAGCCTGAAGCTCCTCCTGCCCCCAGCAGCCCCTTCAAAGGGCACTTCACGCTTTTAGAGCAGGCCACCCAGAGAAGGGGAGTGCGGCTCTCTGTGGTACCCCAGAGGCCAGGCTGGGCCCCCAGGTTGAGGTGCCCCACAAATGTGACCCTTTTAGGGCTCGCCTTTGAGAGAACGGAAAAGCCAAGAAGCGGCCACTCAATTCTAGCACTGTTCTGGGCTCAGGAAAGACCCCCTCCAACAAGGAAGGGGAGGCAGCCCCGGAAGGACCCAGTAGATCCTGGCTGGCCCCTCCAGACACCCCAGGACCCCCAGACAGCGCTTACCGCGATGCCCTCAGCCTCGTACTCCTCCTGCTCCGACTTCAGGGTGAGCTCAATGAACAGCTGCTGCAGTTTCTCGTTGCAGTAATTGATGCAAAACTGCTCGAAGCTGCAGCCGTGCGAAAGAGCCGTACCAGCACGTTGAGGGAAAGGGCGAGAGAGGCCGGCCTCAGGGCGGCGGAGACAGACCCCCTTCTGCTCCACCTGGCCCCAGCAGCAGGACGTGCACCGCCCCCCCGCTGGGAACGGGCCCGAGGGAGCCCACGGAGGGCTGGGCAACGGCGGGCTGTGCGGCCGCCTCTTTGCTGCTTCCCGAGGCCAGCCTGGCCCTGGGGCCCCGGCAGGGAACTTGCAGGAACCGCCCTCGCGGCGAGGCTCGCCTGTGGGCCCCGGGAGGAACCCACTCAGCTGCCCTCGACGCAGGCCTGGGCATGGGCAGGCCGCCCCGGTCCTTGGGAGCCGCATGCGCTCACCTGTTGTGCTGGAAGACCTCAAAGCCGTATATGTCCAGCAGGCCCAGCACGGTCGAGCTCTTCCTCCAGCCCATGCGCTCCGTCTCCTGCAGGAGGGACAGGCGGGAAGTGGCTGCGGGAGAAGACGCCTCTCTCGGGCCGCGTGACCAGGTTTCTCCCTCCCTCAGCACGGGAGTGCAAGAGTGGCCTTCTGCGCTCCCCCCACCCCAAATAGGGCCCTCCTTCCATTCAGCCATCCCCTGGGGAAAAGCCTCCGCATCCCTAGACTGCCCCACGGCAGCGGAGGGCCCGTTCTTCTCCCATCAAACAGAGTGACTTGGCCCATGTGCCAGGGAAACAAGCATGGGGAGGGGGCCCTCCATCCAGCAGAAAAGAGGGGAAGTGCAAGGGCAGGGCGCCTGCGTTCTCCCCCCTGAGGGCACTTCCCCTCCATGGCCTCCCCGAGAAAATCCGTGTCTCGCAGCCCATTGGGCGACAGGCAGGTGCAAAGCTGCCCAGCTCTCGCTGCCAACACTGCTGCGACTGAGGGCGCTGCAGCGCAGGCGCCTCATGCAGAACTCCCAGCCGGGGGGCGAGTTGCCGCAAGACGCGGGGCTGGAGGCCTCGCTGGGCACGGCTCCTGAGCGTGAGGCAGCTCAGATGGATGGGGCCCAGGCGAGCGCAGGCAAAGGCGGCCAACCTCTTCTGCTGAGGTCAGAGAAGTCTCCTGGGCCAAGGGGGGCTTTGAATTACCTATGTGCTGCTCCCCGGGGAGGCTAATCTGGCCCCCTCGGCGCCTTCGCCAGCCACGCGGCCCCCGGCAGCAGCCTTCAGCGATGCACCCCCAAAACCTCCTCCACCAAGCGCGGCCACAATATTGATTCCCATTTTTATGATTTAAAAGACTTTTTTATGCAAACAACTTTCCGGAGGCCCTGTCCCCGGCCCCTCGCCAGATGCTCACCTGGTACTCCAGAGACTTGTTGATCTTGCTCACCAGCCAGGAGAAGGTGCGCCCGTACACCGCCTTGGCCAGGGCATCCCGCGCGTAGGACGCTTGCTCGAGGTTGAGGGGGCTGATCAGCTGCAAGAGAGGATCGAGGCCATGCGTCTCCTCCTGGCCTGGCCAGGTGCTGGCCGCACGCAGATGCCAGCCGCACGCTCCCTCGGCCCAGGGGGGCACGGCCGGTGGCAGGGCCGACGGGGAGGCAGTCCACCAGCCACCAAGCACCCCGGGGGCTCCTCTCACCTTCTCGCCCTTGGCGATGATCTCCTTGTGGGTCAGAGCCTCCCGCAGCAGCGAACCTTCCACTTGCAGGAGCTGCAAGACGCAGGAAAAGGACGGCCTGTCATGCAGCCGCCTTTTGCCCCCTTATAGAGTATGTCTTGGCTGAGAAGGCAAGGTGAGCAAAAGGCAGGCCCGCCTGCTCCCGGCAGCCCTCTGGAAGGCCTCTGCCCAGACGGGGGCTGCAGAAACTCCCAGCGCAGCCAGGAAGGAAGACACCGCAGGGGCCACAATCCTGAAGACAAGAGGAGGCGCCCAGGCCGCCTCCACGCTGCTTCGGGGCTGGAAGAAGCATGGGAACACCTCTCCCGCTGCCGCCGGCATTTTGCGTTGCTCCCATGCCCCGGAGACCTCTGATCGGGCAGAAGGGCGGCATCTGCCCCAGGCTGAAGGGGGAGGCCCCTCCTCCTCCTCCTCCTCCTCCGTGCACCATTCGGAGAGCTTCAGCTAACGGAAGGGCTGAGACAACCTTACATTAAAGGCTAAGCCCTAGTCTCTGCTCAGCTGCAGCCCAGAACTCTTCCTCAGCCTAACCTGCTGCAGCTCCTCTGAAGATGCTAAGTGGGGTGGGGGGAATTAATCCCCTGAGTGAAACAATACAATTTGTAAAAAGTAACTATAGCGGGACACGGCCTTCAGCTGTGCACTTCCGGCTCCCTCCCTGCTGTTGATTGGCCACCAGCTGCCAGGAAGAAACCCTCTGGGGCATCCAGTAGGCGCCCCCCCCCCCACCAGCCCTCGGCTTGCTCACCCGGGCCAGGTACTTGATCTGGTTCTCCGTGGTCACCTGCGCCCGGCCCTCGTCGTCAGCCGCAAACTGCACGTTCCCCAGGTGCAGGACACTGGCCACGATGCTCAGCAGGTCCTGCAGCAGGGAGAGGCTCCATGGAGACGGGGGCCTGGAGGGGGCCTGGCCGGCCAGAAGCCCCCAGGGAGCCCCCACCTCCAGGGGAGCAGGGGGTGAGGAAGGCGCCCGCTCACCTCCACCTCCTCATCTCGAAAGTTGATGACCGACAGGGCCTTGCGCACCACCTTCCAGTCGCTCTTGTCGCTGATGGAGCTGACCTTGGCACACTGACCCTGAGGACAGTGGGGAGGAGAGCTCAGCCGGAGGGCGGGGAGGGCCCCGCATCCCGCACCCCAAAGGCCGCGGTCTCACCTTCACCAGGAAATGGTACTGGTGCGGGCTCTTCTCGAGCCCCAGCCGGCGGAGCAGGTCATCCTCCGCTCCCTCCAGCAGCTGGTAGAATATATGGAAGTTCCTCTCCCCATGATTCTGGTGCACGACCCGGGACTTCTCAAGGAGGTAGTTCAGGATGTGGCCGCCGATGGGAGCCCCCTAAAGGCAGACAAGGGGAGGCGGGCATTGTGGGGCGGAGCGGGAAGGGGGGGGGATTCAGAAAAAGCCTTCCTTGAGAAGCTTTTTCTGCATAGCTCATCATTTCTGCCCATTCTAAACACCTTCCAACCTTCAAAACCATGCCAGGACCCCTCGTTTTCCTAACCCTAACCCTACCCTGGTGCACACGCCTAACCCTAACGTAGGGCTACAGTTCCACTGAAAATGGGGTGATTCAGAAAAAGCCTTCCTTGAGTAGCTTTTTCTGCGCAGCTCATCATTTCTGCCCATTCTTAAGTTCCAGGATGAGTTCCATATACACACCTTATAATCAAACTGGACATCCATGTATTTCCCAAAGCGGCTGGAATTGTCATTGCGCAACGTTTTGGCATTTCCGAAAGCCTGAAGGAGAGAAGCGGAGGAGCTGAGCACGGAGCCATCCTCCCCTGGCCTGGGGCAAAGCTCCGCGGGCTACATTCAGCTCGCTCCTGGCCTGATACTGGTCTCTGTCCCGGGCATCCTGCCTCCCACTCTGCCTCCTGCCTCTGTTCCTTGGAGGCCAGGGCGTTCCTCAGGTCCTTCCGCTGGGGCCAATGCCCTGCTTCGGCTCCACCAGTCTGACGGCCGCCTGCCCGGCTGCACATCATGCCTGGGGCCAGCCACAGTCACGCGGTCAGTTCTGGCCACGGAGCAGCTGAAGCGGCACAGGGCCCCGGCGTCCGGCCCTCCCCAGGTCCACGAGCCGGGGAAGGGGTGCAGGACGCAGGCGTCACCTCCAAGACGGGGTTGGACTGCAGCAGCCTGTCCTTGATGGCCTGCACTTGCTCGCTGGCTGGGCAGGTGATGGCGTAGTACTGCAGCACCTTCTTGGTGGCCTCTGTCTTGCCAGCCCCGCTTTCCCCGGAGATGAGGATGCACTGGTCCTTCCGCTCGGTGCGCAGCGAGCGGTAGGCGTTGTCCGCGATGGCGTAGCTGCGAGGGGAGGAGAGCGGGAGGCGTCAGGGTCCCACGCCAGCCCCCAGAGACAGCAGGGCCTGGCCCCTGGTGGGCTGGAGCCAGCGCACCGGCGTTCGGCTTCTGCTTGCCACACTATTCAAGCCAAGGCCTCCAGTGTCTCTTCCCACGCAGATGTGCATTTCTGCCCCACCTACGGGGTGGGGGGCAGGGAGGGTCCCCGCCTCACCCTTGGCGGGTCACTCCCTCGGCCCTTCCCTGACTGGGGAAAGCTTTGCGGAGGCGCTTCCAGCCCCAGGAAGCCAATGAGGAGAGAGGCCGGATCCCTCCCCACCCCAGAAGCCCCCCGGAAAGCAGGGAAGGCCGCCCCGATTGTGCACTAGGGCCCACAAGCAGCACCGCCAGGTCCTGCAGGCAGGGGGTGCCAGAGCGCCACGCAGGCGTCGCCCGTCTCCTGCCCCAGCTCGCCTCCTCGCTGGCTGCCTCCCATCAGAGACGCCGTCAGGGTTCTCCTGGAACCCTTTCCTTTAGATGGAGAATATTCCTCTCCCAGCTACGCCAGCAGAGATGCCTCCACGGTTCCTGGGGAGGGCTGGGCCAGGGACCAATGAGGACAACACCTGCCCCCTCCCAGGGGGCCGGGGGGGCACACTGCCCACAGCTCCCACTTACAGGTGAGGAGAGACTTCGTAGAAGCTGACGCCACGGTAACGGTCCATGTGCTGCTTGCTGTAGATTTCCAGCTCCTTGTATGGGTTTACCGAGACCAGGACGGAGCCAATGTAGGTCTGTGGGGGAGGAGCGGGGAGGGAGCACCACAGGGGATCAGGGGGAGGCAGAGTCTCCGGGGGCAAGCGGAAGGGCAGCAGCCAAACGTGGCAAGCCGAGCGGTGCCTCTCCCTCTGTGCTCGAGCCGCTGGCCAGCAGCCCAAGGGCTCCCTCTTGGAAAAGCCCTTCCCGGCTCTTCAGTCCTCGCATCCCAGGGTCCCCTCCACCCGGGGCTCCAAGTGACCGGCCGCTTCAGCTGCGAGCTGGCCTGGAGCATCCCCACATGGGAAACCACATGGGAAACCACCACCACGAGTTTGCGCAAGGACCCCTCCGAGGACACCCGGCACATGGCTGGCGAGCTGCCGCCAGGCCAAACCGCCCAAGAACCCCAAGCCCCCGCGGCGCTCTTCCACTCACATAGATGAGGTTTTCCTTGAACCGTTTGCGCAGGTTTTCGATAAAAGCGGCCTCGCTGGTGAAGTTCTCGAGCAGGACGAAGTCCTGGACTCCCACCCGGTCCCGGGCCGTCAGGGCGCTCTCCATCGCTGGCCGGGCTGTGTCACTTCCGGCTGCCTGCAGGGGCACCCCAAAGGGAGAGTCAGAAAGAGGAGAGGGAAGGGGGAGAGAGGGCTGAGGGCCAAGGGGCACCTCCAAGGCTCTTGTGACCCTTGTCAGTGCAGAAAACCGGGACTAGGAGAACGTGGGTGGCCCCCCCGCTCCGTCCTGTGCTCACCTCCTCATGGTGGGACAGGTGAAACCCCACCGGAATCAGGGACCTTTTCAGCTGGATCTGAGACAACAGGCCGTCCACTTTCATGCCTAGCATGGTGAGGCCGGAGCGCGAGGGCAGCAGTCCCCGGCACCTCACACCACCGGAGAGAAATGAGCCAACCTCGCTGGATCCCAGCAAAGCCCCTTGGAGGAAGCTTGCCACGTCTCCTCCCGGAGGGATTCCCCGGGGGGGGAGGGAGGGGCCTGCACCTGCGCCTCTCTGGGATGCCAGTCGGCAACCTAATCCGCGTGCAAAGGGCAAGCTGCCACCAGCTTCCTTGCCTCCTGCATGCAGTGAAGCCGGTCGGCTGAGCCTGCACCCGCCTGGGAGACCCCCGCATGGAACACTGCCGGGTGGAGGCAAGGGTTCCCCCCGCACACCTGTGAGTCGTGCCTGACTCTGGGGCCGGCCGTGTCCAAAGACGCTTCCACGGTCACGTGGCGGGCATGACTAAACGCCGAGGCGCATGGAACGCTGCCTCCTTCCCCACCGAAGTGCTACCCTTTCATCAATTTGCACTGGCGTGCTCTGAACCGCAAGAGCCGGGACAAAGCAGCGGGCACTCGCCCCCCGTGCAGATTCGATCGGTGGCCTTCCTGATCGACACCCTGGCAGCTCCGTGGTTTAACCCGTCCGTGTCCCAGGAGCCCCCGAACTCAATTGCTGTTATGTCCCCCACTGCCTGTGCCAACCAATCCATCGGTAGAAATGAGCTGAAGGGACCACAGCAGCTTCTCACGGCAGGGGACTCATGGGTGACCGCCCTCACCCCTTTCTGTGGAGCTGCCGGGGAGGTGACGCTGTAAGGCCAGGGACTGGGCAGGCCACTGGCAGCTTCTGGGGCCGGCCTGGGCCAGAACCCACTCCTCCTCAGCGCCCCGCTTGCAGCCAGAACTGGTGAAGGAAGTGCCGAGCGGTGCCCCATGGGTTGCTGTGGCCAGGTGTTGCTGCCCACGGAAGGCAGGGCACGGCCCCCTTAAGCGTGGCCCGCTCTGAGAAGAAGCTTGTGGCCCTGGAAGATGCGGAACAGCCCTCCGCGGAAGAGAAGAGAAACCAGAAGCGCGCCATCTTGGAAGAGACTCTCAATGCCCCCACGGCACAGAGCACCCCATGGAGCACGCGGGACCGGCATGGATGCGACTCCGCGTCTCCACGTCCACTTCGTGCACGTCCATCGTGGGGTCTTTGTATCTTGGCTTGACTGTGCCTGTTTCACAGTTGTAAGCGAAGCAAGGCTTAAAAATAGCACAGTTTGGCATCTCTATGAAGTAAACATTGGGTGGTGTTTGTAAGACACCGAGCAGCCGAGGCCGAGCTGCCGCAGTCCAAGCTACCTGGGCACCTTGCTATTTCGCCACCTGGGAGGGTGAGGGAAGGCAGCATGGAGGCCATGCAGTGGCACAATGGCAGGCGCTAACGAGGGCCGCTTCATTTGAGCAGCAGACCTCGATGCGGCACCAGAATGGAAAAACCGTGTGTGTCGGCAGGAGGTGGGGAGAGCGCATCCCGCGAAGGCTGCCTGCCCCACCGTGAGCTCCGCTCGTGCTCCTCTCAGGGAAGCGGCTCTGCTCCGGCACCTCCCCAAAGCAAACACGCCAGCTGTCTTGTGGCCGCCTCCTCCGCCCTCGGCAAACTCGGCCAAGCACCGCCATCACCGCCTCCCGGAGGTCCGGGCACAAGCGGCTCCTTCTGCTCGCCCGGCACCACAGCAGCGTGGTCGGCTCGCCTTTCTCCAAGCCAGGCCAGTCCTGTGCGGAGCTGGCCGGGCCCCAGGAACATGGGACAGGCTGTCTCCTGGCGACCCACCGGGGCTGGCCCTGCAGGGCTAGTGCAGGCCACACAGGCCTCCCCTCAGAGGCCGTGGGGTGCTCCAGCTCTCGCATCAGGCTGCCCGGCGGCTCTGGAAGGCCTCTCAGCAGCCTGGCAGGCCAGGCAGCCCCCAAACACCACCCCGGGGACAGGGGGCCAGCAGGGCTCCCACTGTGGGGCTCGGCACTCACAGCCCCATTGGCTGCCCCTGCAGACGGAGCTCTCTCTCTCCAACCACAGCGAGGGAGAAGAGCCATATGAGTGGCAGGAAAACTGAAAATGGAGGGAGGGAGGGGAGCGGCTGCAGGAACTGCCTCAAGGAACAGGAGGGCTGGCGCGCCCCAAGCACAGCGGCCCAGTGCAGAAAACGCTGAGGCCTGCCGGGAGGAGCCCGGGGTCCTGGTGCATGCCCCAGCCAGGGAGCCAGCCTGGCCAGTGGTTCCCAGGCGGGGTCTTCCTGAGCAGCCCGGGAGGGCTTCCAGCCGCTGGAGCCTCCTGTGGAAAGAGGATGGGAAGCAGCACCTCTTCTGAAGCGCCAAAGCATAGCCATGCTCGCCTCTTCCTTGATCCCCATGAGGAGGGCCGGCCCTCGGCTGAAGGAGCATTTTGCACGGAAAAGCTCGCCCAGTCCGACGAGACGGGGCCTCAGCACCCCCTGCACCCCTCTGCCAATCCTGGCAGTCCCCCCACATGGCCCCACTGGTCAGTCCCACAGCCCTGCATGGCCAGCAGAAGCCACGGAGCACCCGACCCCCTGCGGGCAGAACGCGAGGGCAGCTCCTGGGCACCTTCGCCCCAGCCGCTCTGCTTTGCCCCAGCACCCCGCGCCCAGAGCTGCCCTTGGCCATGGTGAGGTCCGGGCCTTGGAAAAAGCGTGGGGACCAGGCAGCCTCCCTGCTGATAAGCAGCCGTTTCCCAGCGCACAGATGCACGGAAGGGGCCGGGTGGAAACTCGCTCGTGGCTGCGCCAGCACTGCTTCTCCCGTTCACAGCCCCACCCAGGAGGATGCCGTGATGAGCCTAGGGTGGGCTGTTGCGCTGAGCCTGCTGGAGAAGGACAGCTGCCTGGATGCCTCCGCAGGACGGGCGGAAGGACGAATGGACGGACGGACGGACGGGCAGGGGGGTGAGTGGCTTCACCTCCCTCTTCTGCCCGAGCTGGTGCAGCAAGGGACAGGGGTGCTGTCACTGGCCCAGTGACACACAAGAGCCGTTCCAATGCCGTTTCGTTAAAAATGGGACGGAGGTGGAAGCATAGCCAGGTAACGGCTCCCAAGTAACGCCTTCCACTTCCCCCTCGAGCATCTTTTTCATGTGCTGCAGACATGCCGACAGAAGCAAAGTGGGGTGTTTGCTTGGAGGCGAGAAAAGGGAGAAGCTGGCAAGGTTGAACCGAGGGACGCTGAGCCCCAAGGGGGTCCCCAGCCAGCCACCACTCAAGGAAGAGGCCAGCTCACAACCACAGGGCAAAATAAGCACACGGGTTTTGGCAACACCAAGCAGAAGTGCACCAAGCTGTGGTCCTGGAGCACCCCAAGCAGACCAGCCGCCCCTGTGAGCCAGCCTGCCCAAAATCTCTCATCTCTGAGCAATCATGGAGGACGGAGAAGGGCTAATACTGTCCCTCATAGAGGAGGAACCTGAGAACTAATAATAATAATAATAATAATAACTACAGCCCAGTCAGTCTCATGTCAGTCCTGAGGAATAGTCTGGAACCGTTCATAAAGCAGTCAGCAGACACCTTGAAAACAATGCCAGGATTACTAGAAGCCATCACGGATTTCTCAAGAACAAACCGTCCCAGACTAATCTGACCTCCTTTTTCATCAGATAAACTCTGATGGAGTGTGGGGATGCTGTGGACATAATATATCCTGACTCCATCAAAGCTTTTGGCCAAGTGCCCCATGATATCCTGACCTAGTGAACCAGAGGCAGGATCCACAGAGTCAGACTCTGGGAGTGCTTCTCCATGGCGCCTTCTCATGTTGGGAGGTGGTAACAAGCGGTAGGTCCTGGGCCCAGTGCTCTTCAGCATTTGGGTGAGGAGGTGCAGAAATGCTTAGCAGGTCTACAGGCACAAAATCCCAGAAGACAGGAGCAAAATTCTAAGTTATCTTGATCGGTTAGAGTGCTGGACAAGACAAAGACCAAGTTCTACACCTAAGAAAAAAGAACCAACCCCAGAGTTACAAGATGGGGGATACCTGGCTCAACGGTGCTGCGAGCAGAAAGGATCTTGGAATTGTTGGAGATCACAAGCTGAATATGAGTCAACAATGTGGTGTGGCTTCAAAAAAATAAAAAAAGGCAAATACTATTTTGGGCTGCATTAACAGATGCAAGTTTCCAATCACATGAAGGACTTGCTCCCTTCTACTCAGCACTGAATAGGCCTCATCTGGAGGGCTGTGTCCAGTTTTGGGCACTGCAGTTTAAGAAAGACGCAGACAAACAGGAAAAGGTTCTCAGGAGGGCGGCAAAGATGACCAGGGGCCTGGAAGCAGAGCCTGGAAGAACTGGGCACGTTTAGCCTGGAGAGGACAGGAGAGGAGAGGAGAGGAGAGGGCGGGGTGAGAGGGAACCACCCTACAAGTGCTTGGAAGAGTATCACACAGAGAAAGGACAGGAGCTCTTCTCAGGATGACCAGGGGCCTGGAAGCCATGCCACGTAAGAAATGGAAGAGTTGGCCATGTTTAATCTTGAGAAACGAAGGCTGAGGGGGATAGGCTATCACAGCTCCAGATCTGAAAGGTTGTCACCCAGAAGAGGGCTGGAATCTCTTCACAATCATCCGCCTGCACAGCACTTAGAATAATGGGATCAAGTTACAGGAAGCCAAATTTGGGCTGAACATCAGGAAAACATTCCTGGCTTTTAGAGCAATGTGACAACAGAACCGAGGAGCTCTTACAATGGAGAGATTCAAGACGCAGCAGAGCAGCCACTGTTAGGGATGCTGTGACTAGGATGGGGCAGGGTTGGACCTGATG